GTAATTAAAAATGCTAAAATTCCTAGAATAGCTTAGTGCAGGGCTGCAGATATAAGGTTGCTAGTGTTGAGAAACCTCTGGAGCAATTGCTCAAGTTGCTGATTAAAACCTAGTCAGAATGTACGAGTTCCTGCAAAACTGGATGTTTCCTTCCAGGTTCAAAGTTTTTATTAAAATTTAATTATCAGTAGAAATCAATGTGAATACTCTTTAAAGAAATGTAGTATTCTGAGATGTCCCAGGGACAAATTAGGGATGTAGTGTAAATGTTACCACTCTATCTCTCATCACAAAGAAGAAAAAACATAGCCTGAGGGAATTCAAAGGAACAGATGCCATTTGTAGTTTATTACATGTAGATCTATATATAATGCAGTTGCATATACTAGCTTTGACAAGGCCTCAATTATGGAATGAAGTTTAGTATTTTGGCATCAACTCCCAGATGCTCATTTGAGAGCTGACACACAAGCATACAGCCATAAGGCATTGTTCAGTGTTTTAGCCATTTCACTGTGGCGCAATGTGGCAAGTTGTGAAAAAGTTCTAGACTTTGTACAAAGATAATACACCAATCAGATTATTTACCACTGTTATTTTGTAATTATAATTTGCTGTTTGCCCACATAGTGATTGTCAGGCTACATCTGTATGTTCATGCTCTGTGAACAAATATGACCTTTTTTATTCTTTCTGATGTAAGATTTTATGTACAATATGTATTATGTTCAATTTCTGTAATTAATGCGAAGTGAAAGTATTTTAAACAAAGCAATCTGTAGATGCATTCATAGGTTTATGTCAAATTGTACTGTTAAATTAATTCTCAAGCTACATCTAGTGCCATATAGTTTTTAAATTTTATTTGGCTTCTCAGCTTTTGCCTCATTTTCAAATTTGACTGGACTTTCTTTGATTTTAGAAATGGATTATACGTTTTGGTTTTAAACAAGACAGTGATGCCTTACCAAAGGTTCCTAATCTCCTCTTGGCATTAAAGGTTATAAATGTTACATTAGTCTTGCACTGTTTTAACAGTCCAGAGGCAAAAGGAGAAAGCAGGGGAGGCCTCACTCTTAATTAGCTGTTATTCGAGTTGCTTTAATCTGCCCAGTGACACTGGCTGCCAGGCATCACTTTTCAGTGAATCTTGATAAAAGTACTCAAATTATTGTTACAGGTTTTTCAGCAAAGCGCAATTTATGGGGTTGACGAAGGTTATTCAAAATTATTTAAAATTTCTAGTATTCATCGAGATGACTACAGTTTTGATCATTGATATTAAAGATCACTGTGGATGATTTTTTGCCAGTGGTTTATTCTAGTCCCTCATTTGCTCATGTAAATTGATTATTTGCACAGTTCCCTGTCTTGGTGTTCTTCTGTTCTGGGGGTTCAGGGTTCATCTTTCAGCTAGGATAGTTCTTGACACTGCCAGCCACAGTTTGATTTAGCTATCTGTGGTAAAGCAGCCACTCACTACACATTAAACAAATACCTGTGCAGCACTATATAATCTCTTCACAGAAGTAGAATCCCAGCCCTCCTCCCAGGTAATTGGAAATAGGCTCACACTGAAAGTAAAGCAGAGATTTCCTCCCCAGGCTTCCTGTACTCTAATTAAACACTGAGCTTGGGAGAGCTCACCACTCGTTCTTGTTTGCTAGGGAGCTTGGGACTGTCAGCACCCTGTGTGTAATCGCAAACTTCAGCTGAAGTGTGTTTAACCCCCTCCACCCCCACCGCCACCCCCTTTCTCCTCCATTTTATATGTCATAGTTTCCAGTGCAGAAAGGGAGTGGGTGGGTTATGAAGTGAAACTGGAGAAGGGCAGCACAAGCAGCCAATAGTATCGAAGAGTCTTCCGCTGCAGTTTTTTTCCATCAGAGTGCCGACCTCCCCTCCTCCCTCTCCTGTGACCTTCTCAAGGGGCCCCACTAGTTTGGACTGGAGCCATTTTCCCTGGGTTGCAGTGATGTGGGGGGGTGGTTGCATGGGGGGGGGGGGATTTGGCAGCTTCTTTGATCAGTAAAGCAAAAACAAGAGAGGCTTGAAAGCAAATGGGTGGCTTTGTGTAGATGGAAGTGCTGACTCAGTGCGTCTCTGCAGAGATGGAGGGTAGACAATCACACGGGGATTTCTGCAGACGGACAGGGGCACTGTCTGATTTTTTTTGTTTCGTGTATTTGTGTATGAAAAGCCCATTTCATTTCTGATTGTTACACGGGGTTAGTCACAATGTTGTCAACAAGTATAAATACCAATTATTTTACTCGCGTTTTTTCTCGTCCACAGACGGGGAAGGATTATAAGGTTACCATTAGAAACTTTGACAGTTCCTTACAAGTTACATGGGTTACTGTGACAAAAAAGGTTTCAAACGAAAGCATACATATCAAAGCTGTCGACAGCACTAACCCTGTATATTGTAAGATTCTCAGAAAATATACGATTTATATGTTTTCATATTATATGTAGATAATGTACTGTATTATCAGCTCATGTACGATACAATAGATACCTTAAGGATAATGTTTTTGTCATCTTCACAATTCATTGTATTTCATTCATTTTCATTATTTTGAGTTTAAATCTCTATAAACAATAAAAATGTTGTTTGCATGAGAGGTTGTCTCTTAATGGAATATAGATTTGTCATTCGAAGTAAGATATTATGTTCAAGAAATGTAATGTTGGATTCATTAGGTGTTTTGCTGGTTTGATATTTTAGATGCCATGAGATATGCTTGTACAGAGAGAGATACAGAACTGAGTTTCCGCATTGTGAAACGGGAGTGTTCTGACAAATCGAAAGTCTTAGATTCAGACTTTTGAGACCGCCAACAAGGGTTTTCCATTGTAGACCCACACCTTCACAAGCACATTAGAGCTTTATGGACTTGGCATAGGATTATTTCAGTCCCGACACTATCCTATCCAAGTTACTTTCATGATTAGGGGATCCCCTGCATGAAGTATAGAGACATGGTCTCATTGACGGCAAAAATGATTTCCTGTATCATCTTTCAGTTAGACAGTCAATTAAGCAACCAGAATCAACAAAGAGCTAATAACCCGTGTTTATAGAATAGTCAAAAGTCTAAATGCCTTTTAGGGTGGAAATGTAGAATGAAATGGGATATCTGTTTACTTGGGTTTATGCAATGTTTTGAGGTGTAAAAAGGTCTTTTTAAAAAATATTTGCAGTGCTGGGTTCTTCAGTTCTGAACATGATGTATGAGTGAAGACCATACAGATTGAGATAACGTTGTTGAGCAGGAAATCCAGAAGGCAGAGGTGCTTTTGATCTGTGCATGTGTTTGGTGTTTAAATTCAGAAGGTCTTGTTCCCCCCCATGTGTGATGGACTGCTTATCCCCCTGAGTATGAGGAAAAGTAAAAACAAGGAACGAGGAGGCAGTAAACCACAGTGGAGCAAATGCTGTCAGGGCTTGTTGAGGGGCGTCTTCAAGCAGAAGCACTAAAGGAGGCCACTGTGTTGGGATCTAAGAGAGGGTTGTGTGTCTGTATATGTGTGGTCTAGCCCATTTCCCCCCCCCTGACTTTACAGTCTGGTTAACATTACGGTACTTTTCTTAGAATTCAAAAATCATCCATGTCTTACTTTTGTGTGCATTAAAAGAGTAACATCCTTTTTTTATGAGTCTGCCTTTAACGTTCAAACTCTGAACCATGTCTCATTGAATTTAGTGAATCGGAATAATAAGTATACTATGCAGTTAAATTGACCATTTCAGTTAATTGTATGTGTAGAGAATTTTAATATGCTAAAAGGATGACAAGGAAAATGTAACTAAACCTTTGATTTTGTGGGAATTTTTGAAAAGCATATTTTCAAAGTTTTCAGTTTAATATTGAAGTTTGTCAGTGTCACTGTTATTAATAACATTAACCAACAGAAATGCCTTTTCTTTTGAGTGTAAATTGAGTCCTCTCGTCACATCATATTTGTATAAACCAGCCATTCAGAAAGTGGTGGGAAGCTTTTTAATATTGCCATGGACTTTTCCAAACACTGCCAGACTAAAGCAATCCATCATTTCAGATGGTAAATTTGTAAATTCAGAAAAAAATATTCTGTAAAATGCTGGATAAAGGAAACATTATATTAACAGCTTTGTTTGGACAAGTGCTGATTGCAAGCAATTGGTCTTTTAATTCAATCTTAAGATGTACTGTACATTTTTGCAACTGTGTTTTAGTGGTCAGCATTATACGCAGCAGTTTGTGAAGTAAGCAAAGTTTAAAAACTTGAGGCCAGCAGTCATAAATTTGGTTAAAATACACTCTAGTATGGGACATTCTATATTTAGCCTACCAGACAAAATGCATTGAAATTAAGTGGCAAAAGCCATCATTTCTGAAAACTTGACCATGTTCCACGAAGCATCTGGTGTGCAAACTCTCTCAGTTCTTCAAAATAAGCAGCTCTAGAGTTAACTCTCCCCTGGGCTCCCTGAGTCTGGTCTGGACTGGATGCTGCAAATACACCACCTTCTGAGTTGCTCTTTGCTTTCAATCATGAACACGGGAAACTACATGAGAATGGAGCAGGAAGTGTAGTATTTTGTTACCCTCCCCCCAGTAATACTTGTGCTGTTTTGATACATGGGGCCTTTAGATGTCTCAAAAAAGATTTGCCAGGTTAAAGACGTCAGCTACATAATAAATGGCCATCTTTTACCATAATAGTATGTCAGAGAATTAAGTAAATAACCGTTATTACACATGCATTTCTCTAGTTTGGTTATTGGTGATGTATAACTTAGTTGTATTTCTATGAATAGAATATTAATAATTCCCTTTTTTATTTTTGTGGGAATTAACTTGGTACTCGCAATAATGGATTAATATACCGATCTTGTGAATGGTGCATGCGATCTGTTGAAGTTCCTGCCTCCAGGTAATTTGTTTTCAGCAGCTTGTTTCAATTAGAGTGGCAGAGAGCCGAAATGACATGCTCTTATCCTTTTTCTCTAGCCACATGGATCAGACCACCACCTGGCAGGACCCCAGGAAGGCTATGCTGTCCCAGATGAACGCCGCAGCCCCTGCCAGCCCCATGCCTGTACAGCAGAACATCATGAATTCCACCTCCGGTGAGCCATCTCTCTCTCTCCTGCCCTCCTATTGCTCGATGGGACAGGTGCCACCTTCCAAAGACCTTGTGACACTGGCGCTGAAGGAGGGTCACACTTATCCCTCACTCCCTGTCTCCTGCACCCGGTCGGACCTGGTCAGGCCTGTTGCTAATGGAGCAGGCATGTTAGACCGGTTTCTAACGAGACGGTCATTCTGTCCATCTAGCCTGCTTGATAAAAGTTTTTTTTTCTCAGTACGAAATAAGTAAAGATTTCGAGTTCACTGTTTCCGTCCTCCATGTGAGCTTTTCTTAATTGATTATCAAATTTTACACCTCCTATTGTACACATTGGTACCTGGAGTGATTGTTCACAGCCCCTGTAAAAAGAAAGAATATGCTGTGCCTCTAGTACAAAACAGATGGAAAAGCTGTTGAGATTTTTTTTGTCTGCTTTGAAAAATGTCTGTTGTAGACAAATGCTAGCAAAAAAACACGATAGTTACAAACATAAAGCATACGCCATCCTCCAAAAACGCTGTTCCTTATAATTACCTGTTTTAGTAAGTAGTTTGGGTTTCTGGTGTAGATTCTTATGTCTCAAGAAAAAAGTGTCTAATATCTATTAGTCCTGCAGTTCGCTCCTGTTTTGCAAATACTGGTGTTACAAAAGTTTATCTTTAAATACCACAGTCATAAGAAAAGAATAGTTTAAAAGGGGAGAGCGAGCCCTGTGGCTCATCTGGCCCATTTGGTATGTAGTAGTTAATTATTCCAAGGATCTCATCCAGCTGTTTCTTGAAGGAAGCCAGGGATATCAGTTTCAACAGCATGGAGGTGCAGTTTGTTCCATACTCCCACAGTGCGATTCAGACTTGGAGAATGCGGGCATCAGTGCCACTATCTTTTACATGCAATGTGAGCACTTTGTTGGATGAGAATTCTCCTTCTTAAATATGTCATCTGAGTGTTGAGCGTACCTGGTTTAGTCCCTGCTTGTACCTGCATGTCTAAACTTGCAGGAACTTCAGCTGTGCTTTTGTGTTGCAAATGAGCCGAGAAGGAGTTTATATGATATAGCTATAGCACATCCAAATGGAGACTAAAGACATCAAATTCAGAATGCAATGTCGGTTTTCTGCTTGTTACTCCCAAGCACTCACACTATGTAGGGCATGTAAATGTAACTCGTAACCTGTAATCTGCTGGTTATGCTAATGAAATGTATTCAGATATGGCTTCAATAGAAATTGGAGCTAAATCTTAGGCCTCAATTGTATCCATTGTAAAATGAGAAAGCAGTTGTGTTTACACTATAAATATATGGAAGATATTGTGTTGTCTTCAAGATTATTACAGATCTAATTTTAAAACTAGCGTTATTCTTTGGCTGTATATAGTAAAAATGGTTGCTGTTCACCGTGATACTTGATTTAATAAGAACCTTCATTTTTAACTTCAGTTATTCCTTTTCCTCTGCAAGGCAATTCATGATATTACATCAAGTTTTTGATATAACACCTCTAAATATCTTGTCTCAAAGCACTTGACTATAAAAAACAAAAGATGGGAGCTAACAAGATCAGCACCAGGGGATTAGAAATGTAGTAGGAGGTGCAAGGAGCAGACACAGACACCAATTACATAAAACCCTTTCTGCAGAAGAAGGTTTGGAGTCTGGATTTGAAAGTGCTCAGGACAGGTGACTTTTGTATATCCTTGGGGATTGAATTCCAGAGCTTCGGGAACCGTCACCCAGGGAATATAAAGGAGCTTGGGGGACAAACCGGAGATCAGAACCCGATAAAGATGGTGAGGTGAGGAGTAGAAAGTCACATAGGTACTGAGTGACCAAACCATGTTGAGCCTAATCTAGTGGGATACTTCAATGAAACAATTCACCGAGTAAACAACACATTATGATCTGTGACTTTTGTTCGTCTTTTACGTTGTCATAGATCCCACAATTTCTTCATATGGGAAATGGCTGTAATCGCATTCCCATGTCATTCTCCCCCGAGGCTGCATGTGTTAAAACAGGCTTGTGCATGCTGAATGAGCTCTGGGGTTTGGAAATCCGGTATGGGGGTGTTGCACATTGCCCCCTCCCTGTGCAGCTGTAACAGACACCTTTTATTGGCGAAGCCAGGTTGACTGCCACTTCACTTTAATGTGCTTTAGCTTTGGGAATGTGCTTGGCACCTATCTGATGAAGATGAACCAGCCACCTGTAGGAGTCCATTGAGTCCAGCTCTAAGGTACAGGTATACAGTGCATCATTGTATCAGTTAGCACCTAGAAGGCAAATGGCCCTCTTTCCTCCCTCAGAAATTAAGACGATTGATGAAGCCTTTAGGTTGCTTATCAAGTCACTTTGGTCTAGGATAGGAGTCACAATCTTGAAGAGGGAGTGTGTTAAGATTAGGCTCATGCTCTTGTTTTTATGGATTTGCACACCATTGATACCTTTTTTAAAAGTCAATAATAGCCCTACTTACATTTTGATGAATAAATAAGTAATATTAAAATATAATATATAAACTTAATTAATAAATATGCACATCTAATCATTTAGTCTGATCCTTGTGAGGCTTTTGAGTGTTTGGTTGATAACTGACTATGCGATGGACACGAAACTGACTTGATACTTGCAAATACATTGTACCTCTTGCAGAGAATTACAGAACATTCAAACATAGTGTGTTTTTTTAAAACTTATTTTTGTTGTTTATTAGACTTTCATTGCACATGCCATTAAAAATCCCTTTGCTTGCCAGTAATGGTACGTGTGCCGTAAGGTTGCTGATACCTGATCCTAGGAGATCAGAAAATGCCTAGCCTGTCCATGAACCCCAGAATCATGAGAGAGCCCTCTGGATTCTGAAAAACTCAACCTCACTTGAGTTATTTTGAGTAAGTGAGTGAAGGTGCCTCACTTGGCTCAGGCTTGGATGAGGAGACGATGCGGTGTAGAGGAGGAGAGAAAATGTTAAGAGCACTTAAATTCCTGATGTGTTGAATCCTGTTCGTATGTAGCATTTTGGAACAAGTGAGATGTATGTATGACATAAATTCACAATATCCAGCTATACACAAGAGAAGGGTTGCTGACAGATTTTAGTGTGTAGTTACAGGTGAAAGCATGGTTTCTGATCTGAGATTTCAACAGTGGGTTTAAGTTTGAGTACATATGTAATGCATATGATACAGTATGTAGAGATGTAATGTAACGGTAAACTTGTTTTTAATTCTTTTACCTTTACACTAGATGTGGTAGAGTAAACCTGGACTTTTTAAGACGGTGTGCCTGTTTTGATTCGATACCCAGTGAAGCACTAAAAGGTTACATTCTTAATTTTAAATATGGTTACAAGTTCTATTGTAAATTCATTCCACCCACATGCCTTGACCTTTAAAAAGAAATTACTAACATGTTAAGGTGGTAATACGTGTGTATATAATATTAAAAGTTTGTGCATGCTTACTGACTGACAAGCATTATTATAGTCATCAACAGAGACTTATACAGTACACCTAATCTGATTTAACTGGAAAAGGTTAGGATGACTCAATGTGAATGACTTGAGTTCATCTTTAAAAAAAAAATGGCTTAGCTAATCTTACAGACTAGATATGAACTTTCCTTGCCAGCCTTTTAGTAGTGTTATCTAAATTTAAAAGCAATTTATTGCCACCCTCACACCCGAAGCACTTGTCCTGTTTGTGTTATTCTTATGCACATCTGGTACCATTTGTTCTTAATAGCTACACTTTTGTTGTGTGTATTTTGAGGCTAACTAGAACAGAGGACCCCCCCCCCTCATAAATTCCTGTCTTTCACAATTCAGGCCCACTCCCCGAAGGCTGGGAACAAGCCATTACCTCCGATGGAGAGATTTACTACATCAACCATAAGAACAAGACCACCTCTTGGCTGGACCCAAGGCTTGACCCACGCTATGGTAGGAGAAAATGTTCTCTGTGGTGAAAAAGGTGCAATAACAGAGAATTAAGCATCCAACTGTTTTCCAGTCTTCTCCCCACTGTAGTGAAACTTTGCCTTCTTCATTGTCAAATGTTGTCCAAAGTGCCTTAGGAAATGTTGAGGTATAGATTTTGTCGTAGGAGTGCTTCATGTAAACTGGTGTGAATGTCCTTATGAGATCGTAGCTGTCAGTATATCCTGACTTTGTATTATAATGGGGGGGAAAAAGGATGAGCTGTGCTCTATGGTGAACATTGGACATGAGATAGTTAATCTTTTTGGTAGAAGCAGGAATTATTTCAAGGCATGTAGGTTTAAGATGAAAACCTTCCTTGAATATTTGGCCATATAGCAGCACCTTTATTCACAATGAATACATTTTTACAAAGTATTGATTAGTTTATATCAACTCGAGACTTACATTAATACTTAAAAAATAGGCCTGCTTATATTTTGAAATAAACACGTCCTAGTAACTCCAATGATTCAGTAGAGTTCCAGGATATATTCGGATTATCAACTAAATACATAAACACATTAAACGTAAAGATGTGAAAGGAACTGCTCCAGTTTGTGTATGGTTGTGTGTTTTTTGGGCTCTGTGTGTGTTGTGCTGTTGTCACTTTGCCATCACCTGCGTCTCTACCTGTTCCCCCAGCTGAAGAACCATGTTACTTTTGATGTGTTTCAATAGTTATTTTTTTAAAATACTCTGATACAGTCCCTAAATTGTGGCAGCTCAGGAAAAAGATAATTTAAAAGGCTAAAGCAGTTCTGTCAGCTGCAAGTGCCAGGACCTTTGATGTGGCAAAAAATAGTGCAATTTTTAAAAGAATTGGTTCATTTCTTGCTTTAATGGTACATTTTAGGGACTTTTTTTAAAGACATTCAACAGCATAAAATTATATAGAGTGTACTGTTCCTGATGTAGGGGTCAAACCTTCCTTTAGAAAATGTATAGTTCTTTACGAGGGGGAAATCGTCTGTGGATCAACCGGGTGAGCTAAAATTTGAGCTGTGATTTAATCATGCTGTATGTTTGGTGATTAACTTACACGCATGTGTTCAATCAGCTCAGTCACTGGACTTTTGCAATTTGGTTGACTTTTTCCACTTATCTTACCTGGTCATTCTGCCTTATAGTAGGCTGACCATGCAAATTTCAGGTGAAACCTCAAAAGATAAAATTCAAACACACAGAATGGGTAATGGTCTCTGTGACGTCTGCAAATGCAGGTTTAGGTTGCCTGCATGTTCATAGAGGGAAAACAAGGCGTATTCCAATGTTGCTGAGAGTCTTTCGAAGACCTTTACAGTTGTGATCTTTTTTAAAAAATCTGCCCATCTTGGATGAATTCCTAGTTCAGAGGAGATAGGGTTCAAGTTAACCTAAAAAAAGGAGGATTATTTTCTTAGAGTCGATTTCAAGAGGAGAACTTTATACAGGTTCTTGGACGAGATTTTTGCAGGTGGCATACATGTTTTTCTTATTTCATCCCCAACTGAGGCCGCTTTGGCTTAAATCAGAAACAGCATGGAGATTAGTGAGTAGGCCTGGCTGGGGTGGGGGTAGGGGCTGATGGGTTAAACTCTTTGAAGATTTACTAGCGTTGAACTAACAAGACTGGTGGGCCCCTGAATTGGAGAATAGTGCATGAGAGAGACGAGTAAGATATTAACACATTCCATGCCAGAAACGGAAACAGTGTTGTTTTAGGGAATGGTGGGTATTGCTGCTTGTTTTTATGTTCGTACTCTTTTCTCTCTTCCTGCCTTTTGTGTCCTAGACCTGTAATGACTTGACAAATGTAACTGCGCAAATAAAACTGTACTCATCCAGGACGTGGCAATATACTTTAGTAAAAGCACAGTGTGTGGGGGGGGGGGCACGTCTGAACTTTAGACACATTCAAGTGAAGTTTTTACTTCTAAAAAAAACAATGAGGTATGTTTCAAAAACAAAATCACACAGAGGTTAGATCAGACATCTGCTTCTATTCCTTTCAAATTTGAATATTTTTATTAAAGGCAGGCTGCTCCATAAAGATAATGCTTGTTTTGTTTCATTTGATCATTTCATTATCTACTTGTTCTGTTTTCAGTGTCCATAGATTATATTTGAAGCAGTTCAATTTCAATTTTGTTAATCTGCTGCATTCTGTACAATTGGCTGATTAGTTCAATGTTTTATAGAAGAAAAACGCTCTAGGTGCCTGTGGCTTGTACTGTATGTAATTTTAGTGGGTTCATTGTAAGGCACCTGCAGTGTCAGTGCTTACTTTAACTGGGCTCTAATTGGTTGAAAGAACACATTAAAAATGGGTCCCATTGTGCTTCTCAGAAATCTGATACATGCCTTGGAAAAGAAATGGACTATGCAGTGTTGTAGGAGTATGCTTCAGCGTTCACCCGACCACAAAATACTTCATTTATGCATTTCAAGAGATGGGCACCGATTGGGGTCATTCGGCATATTTTGAAAGCAGAAGTTGGTAAAAGCCAGCTGCAATCTCAGGTCTGGATCTAAGGCAAATAGTTGCATTAATCGAGGCTAATTTTGGAGCAGGGGGGAAAGGGAGCCGAAGCGCCTTTAAAAGACTGCTGCCGATAGCTGGTTTTCCCTGCTTGAGGCCCAGGGCCGGCTGAGCCCTTTTTCTCTTGTGGATCCCAGACAGGCTTGAGTCCGTGCCAGCACTCTTTATTCTGTGGTCGAGCTTTTAATCTGTTCCAGACCTTTTCAGTCAAAGAACTCCAGTGTGAGTGGAGAGGTGGGGGCAGGGAAGGGAAGGCAACCTAGGAAGAAAGGGAAAGAAAGGAAGGCAATCGAATAAGCATGCGTTCCTCTGAAGCTTCCCGAAGGCGGTCAGCGGTGAACAAGCTACGGGTTTACTGGGGTTCAGCTGGAAACGAGGCAGGCCAGCCCTGGACAGGAGTGCTCAAAGTATTGCTTCTCACACCTCTGCTAAAGGCAAGAGGCAGGACGTTCCAGTAGACTGAAACCACACACGTCACCCAGACATGGGTTTATGTACTGCTTTTAATTTGATGCACATCTATGCCAAATGAATTTACTGGAGCAAACCTGCCGGTAACAAACATGTTCCCCCTCATAGGTTTAAGTGTTTTGTAACGCAAATCACAATGTTGGAGGTATTTTAAAGAGCTTTTTTTACTGGTCACCTGATTTCACAGTTGGACAATTTGAAGTCGTGTAAAATAATCCTGAACTCCTAACTCTACTCCCCCCCCATGAAATTTCAGTACTAAACAATTAAAAGACCGCCCTTTAGTTATTTTTTAAGCGTCGTCTTAAATGCAAAAATCCACTAAAATTGCAATTAAGTCTGACTTCAGTTGGGAACGTTTAACTTTGAAAATTGCAGGTTTCCGTTTGGTGCCAAACTCTTAATGACCTGGCCCTCAGTGCGTGTGTATCCTGATGGGGGGGAGACTTGGCACTCTTTCCTGTGAGCACTGCCTGATGTCATTCTTCTGAAGTCTTCAGCTTTTCCAGAGGCTTCCTGTGCCAGGAATGAGTCAGGTTCAATGGTGTCATCACTGACGCACCAACAGACAAGCTAATGAAAATGCTAGGTTTTTATGTGTTACTCCAGGTTTTTTTTAGATGTATTTCCACAAACACATGAGAAGCTTCACCCAGCTCCTGGTTCTGAACTGTTAAGCATCTTGTGTTTTTTTTTATTTTGTTAGGTTAGTTTTATCATACAGGTGTGATACAGAGCTTTTCAAGAAGTATCACAAAGCATTTTCCCTTTGCTTTAAAAGTTTTTCCACTGGTTATTTAGTACATTGGGAAAATAAGGAGTAATACATAGCTTAATAATTGGACCGTTGTGTTTTTTTTTTAAGTTTGCAATGGGACCGAACCGTCTCTGTCATTTCAAGGACTGTTTTGAAGTCATAGCTGATCTATTCTCTTCAAGTGATAAGCCTTGGGCTGTCCATCACCCTCCTGCGTGGCTTTCTTTCCAAACTTCTCTGGATCTGGTTACACAGCAAAAACACTTTTGACGACTGGTGGGGTTGACACCTAACAAATATGCAGCTTGGCTGGAATGCCTTCTCCGTCAAAACCCGGCAGACTATTTAGGAGGCTTCTTAACATCAGCCCGCACCCTGAATTCGGCCTGCATGAGATTTTCTTTCTTGCGGATGCTTGCAAACGATGTTCAGATAGGGTTTCTTGTTGCTTTCTTGTTTTATCGCAAAGAACCGTGACCGAGCTAAATGGCAGACAGCATTGTGCTTCTGCCCACATCTTATCTCCCTGGCCACCTAACCTTTAGGTGAGGGCCTTTCTTGTTCCCAGGTGGTCTCAGGTGACTTGACATTGTATAGACGTCTTTAGCAGTGAACTGCACTTATCGTTTCCTCTCGGTCCGTTTTGGCAAAGTGATATATCGACGTGATCTGAGGCGTTTTGCACAGTTGTGCATGTAGGTTTTATTTTGGTTGTAGAGGAAAGGGATAGGGGCAGTGCAGAGTAAAGAATCTTAAGTGAAGGGCTTCCATAAAGATTTCTGGAGGCTTTCCTGGACCACTTTAAAACGTCTTTCTTCTTTTCATAATGTTCGTAGAAAGACATGGGTACAGCCGTTTTCATATTTCACCAGGACTTTAAAATATTGGTGTTAAAGGCCAGGATATTTTCTATTGTAATATGGGAAAACTGGAATATCCCTCCCTTTTTTTTTCCTGGGCTGACTTATTTTTGTGTCAACATGTATATTCACCTGGGTAGCCACTAAGAAACTGTGGGAAAAGAGTCGTTTGTGCCTTACTCAGTTTAATGTGTCATTCGTTGGCTGGGATTAAATGTTCCCAATGGCGAAAAACAAGTGTGACCCAGAATCAGTGTGGGAAGCCTGAAGATCCCTGGGTGGTGTAATTGTGCAGAAATAGTTCCCTCGCAGACCGCAGAGTGGCACAGGGTTAGGGTGACTGAGATTAACAATGGACTCACCCAGAAAACTACAGGATTTTGCCATGTGAGTGGTGCAGCAATTACCCGCTCCCCTCGCGTAGCGATTTGAAATGAGCATCTTTACAGGTTTCGGTGACAAGCCTACCTTGCGCCTTGCCTTGTTCATTGAGCCGTAGCAAGCTGCTCTGTAATTTTACTGATTCCGACCAACCTGTTGCCTGAGAACTGCTAATGTTCCCCCTGCAGGTTGAGCGCCAAGGAACTCTTGTGAGGTCTTTTTTTTTTCTTTTTTTTTTAAATGAGGAAAAAATCAGTCCAGGCAGCTGAATACAGAGCAAAGTGGGATGTAGGGGGAAGGGTGGAGGGGGTGGTAGCACCACCAGAGTGGAAGGTGGGGACATGGTGGAGGCAGGGTGGGACAGTCATTGAGTTACAGAGCCCTGGGCTGTGTCTCATTCAACAATCGAGATAGTGTAAACAAACAGTGCCCCGTCAGTGATTGAATAGTGATGAAGAGAAAGGCCGCACCAGAGCACAGTGAATGAAAGCAGCGCCACATGAATGCAGAGACAGCCAGGCCCTGTTTTCATTGGTTGCCAGAGTGCAAAAGCAAACAACAGCCCTTATTGGCTTAATTACAGTAACAGCCCTGTGGCTGAGCTGTTTATTTTCTCTCTTTTTTTGTGATGTTAATATCAGGAGCCCTTTTACAGCATTAGGCTGGGACACTTTGCTAAGAAGAGTAAGGCAGTTCTTAAAAGGTACCCATCTACAGTAGTTACAGAGTTAAAAAGGCAGTATCATCAGCTGCCTTTGTCCTGAAAGGTAACGCTTTAAATCTAATTGAGGGATTTAAATCTGTATAGCAGGTGGTCAGGAGAGGTGCCGAAAGACTGTGTTGGAATAATGTGTGAAGTCTGCACTAAAACAATGAGTCTACGGCCATGGACTAGCCCTTAAAGTAACCAGGCCTTGAGCATTCATGTCTAGATAAACTATTGATTTCAATTGCTACAACAGGAGCTTCGGTTCTCCCACTTGGATAAGGTGTAGGTGGTGCCTGTATGTCTGTATTTGTGAAGTCTTTCATTTTAGTAGTTTACAATAAAACTGCACTTTGAAATGCAAACATTGTGGGATGACACTTCAGTGTGTGTGGTGTTTTTGTTTCAAATCTAGCTCTTCCCTTATGGAAGTTCAGCAGTAAGTACAACAGGCAGCATAAACATGGTGAAGTTCATATACTGAGATGTCTTTCAGTGTAGTGGTTGACAGGTAAAAAAAATATCAGATGCCCACATTACATTCTCAAAGGTGCTGTTCGTTATTATTCCGATAGTACCACAACTTTTTTAGGTACAATTTCGAATCTTTCTCAGATTGAATCATTTTATTTCGGAAGTATAACCTGGAGGGGTCCCCCCCCACCCCCCAAATAATGGAGGCTAGGACATATGGGTTTGTGTTTTTCAAGGATTTTTAAATGTTTTCTTATACTATCCTTCTCTCTTGTGGTTTTTTTAAGCGTTAATGTCAACATCGAGAGTTTACCCACTGTTAAAATCATTCCCCTTAGAGTGTTAATACTGTGTAGGAAAGAAGATGTGAAGCCATTTGAATCATTTTAATTTTTTTTTTTGCCGAGTAGATTGAATAGGACAAGGTTTTTGTAAGGTGGCACACTAAGGATTTTGTACTTTGAAATGAGAAAAAATACATATTGAAACATTTTAGTTTCTCATCTGTTCCTTTTTTCCCCCAACAGTGGAACTATGTTTGCAAGTTGTTTTTGTGAGCATGTTGTGTGCTTGGGGCTCTTTTTAACTTTGGAAATGTGAGGGTTGTAGTTTTAATTATTCTACAGTGTGAATGTGTTGAATTTAATTTAAAGCAAAAATAATTTCCACATGTATTTGTAACCATCTTTTAAATATTTATTTTAAAAAAATCTGGGTTCTTCAGTTGTGACAGGATTCTGTTAAAATGATCCTTTTAGTTTAGTGGATAGCTGGATGCATCAAGAATAACAGAGGACAAGTTCTAGTGGCTGGAGTTAAGAAGTTTGATCATTTGGAAACAAAAATGTTTAAACCTGTGTAAAAACAAGATGTTTGTTCTGGAAAGAACTCGGAAGATTCTAAGGTTACCTTGTAATTTTAAGTCCAGCTCTGGGCTGCTAGTTTGTGTGGTTTTGTGTTTGCCCCCTGGTGGTGTAGGATGGTCATTACAACTGTGGCGTTTGTATTTTAGCCCTGAATCAGCAACGGATCACCCAAAGCGCCCCTGTGAAACAGGCCTCTCCGCTGCCTTCCCAGAGCCCCCAGGGTGGTGTTCTGGGTGGTAATAACCAGATGAGACTCCAGCAGCTGCAAATGGAGAAAGAAAGGCTGAGACTGAAGCACCAAGAGTTGCTTCGGCAGGTGAGGCCACAGGTTAGAATCCAACTTTCTCTTCTTATTTTTTTGTGCGTCTGTCCATCCCTGTGTGAACGAGTGGGGGGTGCCTGTACGATTCCACTGTTCCAGAAGTGCTCAAAGACAAGACGAGATTGGAATTCTAATTATAATCAGCCTGGAAACCAAGCTTCCAAATCTGCATCAGACACATTTTGAAAGGTCAGCCTCTTGATTCGTGATGAATCTGTCTTGCCAAGATTGCCAAGTAATCTACAATTTCCTATCATTCTTTTCACAGTTAATCAACAAAAGAGATACGTTCATGCTGCCCCCTTTTGACAATAACACAAGGACGTTTATCAGTATTACTGGAGACGATGTGACTGAGCGCTTGATATTTTGGATGAAATGCCTATAATTAAAGCTGGACTGTACCACCCACACAGGCATACAACTGCTTTTTGTTGTTTGTCAAAGATTGTGGCTGTAAATAGAAGCTTCACTTATTTTAGAAGGTTTTTAGATGGAAAGTAACAGTAAAACCATCTTTCCCTTTCCTTTAGAGCATTTGTACATTCCCAAAGTTGCAGTAGATTGTGCTGAGGACTGTTTGTTCTGCAGGTTATAAAAGCTGACTTAAATGATAGACAGGGGAGTAAAATGGTGTCTCACAACCTAGTTTCCTCAGGGAGGATGCTTGTTTCTCTCCAGCTGCAACTTCTGGGGAATGTAAACAAACTGCTTTCTTTCAGCGGTGGAGTGCATTGAAGGCTGAATCATGAAGGAAATGAATAAACAAGACCCCAGAGTAGAACGAAACATTAACACACCAGTTTTATCAAACCTGTATGTGGCTTGTCTTCTGACAATGTCCTCTATCCCTTAAAACATGTGTTTTAAAACTTTCTAAGGCAAAATGATGACAGTGATTAAAAACATCACATTTTACCTATTTACTGGAGGAATAAAGTCACCTTAAGTCACTTTATTCATCATTAAGATCTACATAGTTTATGTAAAAGACAGCTTTGATTATAAACAGTCCTTGTCAATGGCCTATCTGGAACACCCCAAATAGACTGCACTGTCTTTCTTTCAATCTTAATCTTTATTTTGTGAAGCCCTTTGTAATGTCAAAAGCTGACACCACAGAAGGTATTTGTCATAACTTCTTGTACTCTTCTGAACAATGAATGGAGGAGGACAATGCTTCTACATTGTTCCTACTGAATGAAATCTACCTAAAGCTATCTGAAAACATTGATATTGATATTAAAATTTGTTAAGGGAATTACTGTTGAGCAAAGCCTTCCCTTCATGTACATACTGCATCCCAGAAATAAGATCAAGGTTACCAGACATTCTCCCCTGGCTCAATGCAGTCATTTAGCTACTCGTTGACCAGAGAGCACAGATCTGTGCTCATAGAGGGAGTTTTCTGATGAGTTTTTACCTTTCTTTGTAATTCCTTCCCTTCTCTGAAATGCCACAGTACACGGCTAAGCAAACATTTTTAACAGCTGAGAATGCTGCAGTAGAACTTATAGAGACTATCTGAAGGTAGCATTTGTGTTACAAAATCATCCTGATGTTTATTACTAAATGATAAACATAAGGCTGGGCTGCAACAAGCTTTATTTATTAACAGTGTTAGTCTGCTGACTCATTAATAAACTCAGTAATTTGTACCAAAAGAATAAACTTTACACAGTAGGGTTTCCGAAAAAAGCAAAGTCAGACTATTATGTCACAAATCCTGGCAGTCTGCTAAAAGTGAAATAAGACTTTTAACAGTGCATATCTTCACAGCCAAAGCAACTGACTTTTTTCCCCCCCAAACAGCCAATAGGAGCAGTGTGTTCTAGACTGGAACATTGTGTCCATTAGCCGCAACCTCAACCAGTGAACATTTTCGTAAACCACAGGGTTGTTTGGGTTCAGTATTACGTGCCTGATAAAAACATCATAATCCGTTTTTGGAAAGCGGAAAAAAATATGTTTAAGAGGCTAAGCAATTTTGGGAGCCAATTTCTTCTTATGAGGGATTTTGGTTTGTTTAGATAGAAGGCCTGTCAGCCCTGAATACAAGCTGGAGAAGAAGAGGCTGCTGTGTGATCCCAAAGCCAATTATTTCTGCTTCCTTCTCAGACCCCTTGGAAAAGCAAGGACAAATAAAGGAGGGAACAAAAAAGCACCAAGTTTGTGTCTGTATTGGCCTCAGCACAGACTGAACACATATCCTGAGATCTGCATGTTTAAATATTTTTCCAGATGAATGCAGAGGTTTTGGAATTAGTCTGGCTTTTCCCTCCTGTGGCTCTCAAAAATAATGAAAGGTATATCCATCAATTGTGCAGGAGGGCCGTGTCTGTAACCTGTTACACCCTAGCACCATAAAGAGTTTTTTAAAGTTTTTTTTAAACTAGATCCACTTTGTAGGACAAGGAAACTCTCATAGGAGCTAATCTGGCTTGCGAAACTATGCAAATTGAAATATCTTAAAGTGTCTATTTCTAAATTTTAGGTAAAACTTTGCATTACTTAATCTTCGTTACTTAATTGTTTAGAACAAAAAAAAAGTTCTGTATCATTTTTTCTGACTTCAATGGACTTGGATTACCTTGATGGTTCCAGTCAGTTGAGGATTAAGAGCTGTGTTGATCATTACAGCTCATCTTTGTCTCATTTCACTTCAATCATGTAAAGGTTCCTGAGACTCTGTACAGACAATGTATGTATCATTCCAGGAACTGGCACTGCGGAATCAGCTTCCCACAAGCATGGAGCAAGATGGAGGCACCCAGAATGCGGTTTCCTCCCCTGGCATGGCCCAGGATGTGAGAACGATGACCACCAACAGCTCAGATCCATTCCTCAACAGGTGAGTGGAGCTTGAAGGCCCTTTGTCATTCTGTCCATTGAGAAGCCTTTGGGTTCTACAGTGTGTGGAAGAAAGGTATTATACGTGATTAGCTGTCTCTCTGTGAGCCTTTCAGACGAGGCATCCAGCTCAGTTAGGCTGATACTATTAAGCTAAATCCCTTTTTGTCCTGTGGTTTGTAGCTTCTCAGTTTGTTGGTTCTGTGTTGATTAGCAGGAGGAAGCATTTAAGAGAGGGACTGAAAGGCGTACACAAGGAAAGGGGAGGGCTGCACACAGCTGTTACACAGCTGGAATCTCTGCTCTTGGGGTGGGTGGGGGTTGTTGATTCATGTTTTAAAGAAAGTGAAATCATGCTTAAGAAATGAAATGCAAGCAGTAGGGACGGAGTGTTGTGTGTGTGGGGGGGTGCTGCATTTAACTTTACTCTTCACAGGAACTGCTGTATGAAAAATCTGGTTCAGTTGTAATTCGATGATTTAAACTGTTCACAGTTCACAAATGTGAAGACTGTGCTTTAGTCTTTCCAGGAAGAACAATTATGTTGAGAAAAGGTTTCTGATAACTGAGAGCCATTTCGGCAGAAACCCTCATCAGAGTTTTTTTTTTTACTCTGTGAGGAAATAGGAGTGTAGGTCCAAGAAACATTAAAAACCCTGTTGTCTAGTGAGATGGCAGTAAACACATGGCAATGACTCAGTGAAGGGTTTTTCTAATGAGATCTGCAGAACCAACCCCCTCTTGTGAGACTTCCAGGGTATGATATACTGGTATTACTTGGAAGAGAGTAATATTACTAGGGTGAATCATTTTACTGATGACAATGCGCTGTAGGACTAAACAGGAGGTCTTTTCTGTTTAGTTATTCCTAATTATGAAGTTAATGGAAGGAAAAACTGATAATTGTTTTAACATTCTTAAATTGATAGACGCTTAGTTAAAGTAATCAAACTGATTTGTATTTTTAATATACTGCAGAATTCATTATTATGGTTTAAAATGTGCAGCAAGGGTCTAGTTTAGCTTTTCAGAAAAGAACATGGTAGTTTAATTCTTGACAGATTCAATAGTTTCACCTTTACAGATTCATGCCCAAAACAATGTACAAGACAGAAGCGCTGTCTTATACAAATACTGAACATAGTGTTTTGTTTTTTCAGTCCTGCAGTACTTATAAGTATGCATTACTAAATAACTGCTTTTCTTTTAAGAGGTTTGTTCTTTTTTTTATATAGTGGAAAGTGTGTTATTGTGCTGTTAGGCCTGTGGGTGGTGAAAGCAGAGTCTGAAGCTCAGACTGCTTTTCCAGACTACTAGCTGATGTGGATAAGTAGGGCTGAATAGTGAACGGACTGTGAGAACATGTGGCACGCACAGCAGACACTGCAGTCTACAGCCCCTGGATCTGACAATGGGCTTATTCATAGCCAGCACTGCCACATTCTGCCTCCATATTTTACTTTCTGCTAATTAGTACAGGCCGCAGGAGTGCCACCTAAATACTCCTTTCTTTCCCTCTTGTTTATTCCACCAACGGAAAATAAAGGGGGTCTATTCTTAGAGGCAGGCTATTCTGAGATTCCCACTGGGGATGGTTTCCAGCACTAGAATGGAAACATGTCACACAGTCTGCGTTTGGCGCCAAAGTGTAACGTAAACGAATCGGTAAAACTGGATATATGCAAAACCCTTAGATGGGAATTCGAGGACGAGAGGAATTAGCTGGCCAACTATATAGAAAGACTTCAAGTTAGAGACTGGGCATTGTATCCTTCAATTGATTGTTTTTTTTATTTATTTTGGATATGGAGCATTGGATTCTTGTGATTTCTGGCTCAAATCTAATGGAAAAGATCTTCGCTTATATTTTAATGCATTTTAGTTTTTTCTTTGGGAAGAGGAAGATCAAAATGCCAAAAAGTAATTATATTACTTTTCTGTTCATAGAATTTAGCATGTCAAAGAAATGCAAAGGTACTGTATCTACCACAAGTCAATAAAACAAATATTTGCTAATATCATAATATAATAAATCATAAGTCCTATGTCTTAATCCTGTGACCACCTTAAACTATCTCCTTGTGTTTCATATGCCCCTGCTTCTAACTTCCCCCATGATTCAATGATTTGGAATTGGTGTGACCTAAAAATAGAAAAGTAGCTCTGATGAGCCCGAGACATTTGCATTGATCAGGACAGATCTCATTAATTAGATGAATGTCTCCATTTTGTATCTTTCACAGGAACTGGCAATGCAATACAGCATTCGGTGTCATTCTGGCTACCTTAGGCCAAGTGGTTTTGAGCAGGTCAGATAACGAGGGCAGCACCAGAAAGAGTTGATGGCTAGTGGACCTGTTGGGTTCACGAGCTGCCCACATTTGTTATTGCTGGTATTTGGGCCTTTTTAATAGGCAGCTGCAGGGAAGTGTGTGTGCCACTGTGCCATTCCATGTGACTTGCCAGTGTCTGGGTGAAACTGAGCCTTTTTCTGTTATCTTGTTTTTTGTCCAGTGGCACCTACCACTCAAGAGACGAGAGCACAGACAGTGGATTGAGCATGAGCAGCTACAGCGTGCCCCGCACTCCAGACGATTTCCTCAACAGTGTAGATGAAATGGACACAGGTGGGTTTCTCCGTTCGCGGCCTTGAGGAGGAGTCCTCTGGGAGGAGAAGAGGATTCGGAGTGAGGAGCACCTGTGGAATTGAAATGGACGCTGTGGGGAACAGGGGAGAAGACAGAATTACTGATGATGTTGTAATGACAGCTCCAGAAACTTTTATGACATGATAATACTTCTGGTATGCTCAATGCCCCTTTTCAAAGATTTAAGCTTATTTCTGACAATTTATATTTAAATAAACGAACAAACCTTGATGAATGTCTGAAAAAGGGTGTAGGTTTTCTGCACAACTGTGCCAACTAGCATGTGACGAGTTTAGAAGTGGAGACACAGTGACACTTGAGGAGGATGGTTGTAATAGAGGACAGCAACACAAAAAGTGCCACACACATGGTTTTAAGCAAATGCCCCATCTTGACTTCTAGCCCAAGTTTAGAAGAATCGTATTTTGTTTGTGAGCACATGCGGTATATCCGTTTGATCATTTCGAACTGCTGAATGGATTTGGGAATGCTAAAATTGATGAGCGTCTCTTCCCCTATTCCAACTCACTCCTTAAATTGTTATTCCTCCTCCAGGTGACTCCCTGGGTCCTAGCTCCATGGCAACACAGCCCAGCCGCTTCCCTGACTATCTGGACACAATTCCCGGCACCAATGTGGACCTGGGCACACTGGAGGGTGACAGCATGGCCGTGGAGGGCGAGGAGCTCATGCCCAGCCTGCAGGAGGCCCTCAGCTCTGACATACTCAATGACATGGAGTCTGTGCTGGCAGCTACCAAGATTGACAAGGAGAGTTTTCTCACGTGGTTATAGAGCGAGGACCGGGATTTGTCCCCGTCCTCATGTACTGGACTGTGTGGGTGTCCTTGCAAGACTGCTGCCACGTAAAATCTGTGAAGGATGTGAAGATGCTTTTCTTCTTTTTTTTTTTTAAAGACTTTTCAGGACTTTACTGAAAGGACAAACAAAGCAATATGTGGCAGCAGTATTCTTTTTTTTTAATATAACTTTCCTCACTGTTTTTTTTTCTCGTCCTCAAGGCTGGCCCATGAATTGACGTTTTTTTTTAAGGGTCCCCAGAAGCCTTTATTTTTGTCACTTTCAGTTTCTTCTCTGGTTCAAGTATTGCTCCCCACCCTAAATTTCTTTCAGAGCAGTGCTGGGCCTGTGTCAGACTGAACATTTGTCTGTTGTCCTTAGATACGCTGCATCCGTCGTTAATCTCCCATAACCTCTATAGCCCTCACTTCTTGCACCACAGTGCAAAGTTGTGCAGTGATTGTCTTGGGACTGCTGTGTCTTCAGATGTCTTTTTTTCAGTTCTGGTATTTTATCTGTGAGCTTGAGAAACCAAAAATGATGTATCTGAAAAGCTACAAAGGAACTCTCATCAGTACTGATTTGGAGTCAATACAGAGGGCCTAGCTTTATTTACAAAGCTCACTGCCTTGGGGTGGGGAGGTTCTGTTGGGGGGCTTAGTATTTTTGGATGCTGCTGCTTGGCTGTGCCAGCAATTTTAAGTGTATCCTTGTCAATCAAGTGCCTTCAATTGTATTTTGTGAGAAAAGAAAAACACTATATTACTATTTTGCAACTTAAATCAATATATAGAGTAAAACGTATTGAGAAGATCAGCCACAAACTTTCTTCTGCATTGAAATCAATAATCAAAATATATTTCTGTTTAAAGGTAATGGTTTTATGAAAAATCTATATTATAATGGGGATTAGGTTTTTTTTGTAATGAACCCTAGTGTCTTTATTTTACATAGTCTTATTTAAGTCTGATCTGTCCTTCAGTTTTTTTATTTTATTTTTCTTTGATAGGCTGTTAGATTAACATATATAATAGCTAAGATAGCCTTGTTTTAGTCTTTTATTGTTTTTTAAAAGCATTGAAAGATAAATAAAATTTTAAGTCTTGGGCTACTTTTCAGCACATCACTCAGCTGTGGAGTAACTACCAGAGATTGAAGTTGATGTTTCACTCCACTTTTCTTAAATGGATATTGTGCACCAACTGGCCAGGTTTATGATTTGTTCCTGACATACTTTGTCAAGTGATGTAATTGTCAGGTTTCATTGTGTGACCCACAGCATTGTTTTTCTTATTTATTTTTTTATACATGCATACATTTTTCAGGCTTTTAGCTTGTATTGTGAAAATTTACACTTTTAAATGGCTAGAGCATTAGAAAAACATGCCACTGACACTCATTGGTGGTTAAAAAAATGAAAATTGCAGGCACTATTTCATGCCTTCAATCTATAAACGAGGGATGGTGAGAGACACTTCACACTACTAAAATGTACTATAGATGTATACTATAGATGGATTGACTGTTATTGTGTGGTTTGTGATACTTGGCAAAGTATACATTCTGACCAGTTCTTGGAAACACTTGTCCAGTGTTGTGCTGAAACTTAAGCCACTCGCAGAAGATGGTAATGAAATGTGTAGGATGGTTAAGTGTCCAGGTAGAAAAGGTTATCAGTGTAGAGTAGCAGTTACTTGGAGTTTGACGGTGATAATGACTTTATTAAAATGTTGTTTTAGCCAGTAGGTATAAAAAGAGCAACAGTATATTCAGGAATTTTTGTCACGGCTTCCAAAGAGTATTTTCTTTTCTTTATGAGCAACAGCAACAAAAATAATTGTGTAATCAACCTCTTTTTTGTATAAGCTAAATGATGTAGGGTTTTTTGTCCAGTGTAGGTGCTTTTGTAGGAATAGTGGTGGATAGGAGGTGTTAAGTATTTAACCCTGTGAGCTCAGAATGTGGGGTTTGGAGGCAGTAAGTAGGTGATTCAGATGAAATATTTTCGTGTGTCTGTCGTTTACATGGTTTTTGATCAAGAAAACACTACAGTGACTGTAAAATGACACTAATTGGAAAAAGAAACACAGCTTCCTGTTAATGCTACATATTACTAGTCTGATGTTTACATAATCATAAAACACTAATAAGGTCATAGAACCTATATCAAAACATACTGAGGGCAAAGTCTGTCCCTTTCTATATAGACCTCTTCCTGTGCAATTTGCTTTCTTTTTCTGTTAAAGAAACAAAACAAAAGAAACCTTGTCCAATTTTTTTCACCTATCCACCATACCAAAATGGTAGCTAAGGACTCTGATCATAGTCAATGACTTTTCTTACAAGATTTGAGAAAGTATCCAGTGTTACAATGGAAGTCTGAGTGACAGTTTTGTGTTTGTATTAGCATTAAGATTTTGATTTTTTTTAAAAGGGGGTTTTAAAGATAGTATTGGTGGCGGTAAAGGAAAAAAACCTGTCAGTGTTGGAGTTGAACAATGCAACTAAAAACGATTTCTGAACAATTGGTTGTACAGTGCTGCCTTTGCACATATCTACAGAACTTTTACTAAATGGTATTTTTGGTCACTTAAGCATGATTTTATGCGTAGTAGTGTGTAATTGCCAGCATATGTAATAACTGTTGATCTGTCGTGTATGTAGAGGGTCGTACTAATCACACATTTTAAAAATTTGGTATTTAGGAATGCCTAAATGCACATGAATTGAAATTATACTCAATAACGAAAATCTGTTGATTTTTTTAAATAGATGTACGTGCATGTATGTTAGAAGTATAAATTGTTACGTTATCTCTTTATATAATACTTTTTAAATTGGCCTCTTTATGTGGAATAAAATATATACTTTGTGGTAATGATTCTTGCTATTTACATGTATTCCTTTTCATGGTTATTTTACTAGAACAAAATACAATGAGAGAGCAGAGTTTAAAAGGTCATTTCTTTGAGCTAATGCTAATTCACTCTGCTTTTGTTAATCAGAGGCTTCTGTGATTCTTCTGCTACTGTGATTTTGTTCTCTTGAGTACTAAAACAAATGCAATCCCATATGCAATATAAATATTGTGCATCTCTTGCAAAGCCCATTTGTATTGCTAGTATTAGTTATTCAGAAGCAATTTTTTTTCTGTCCTTTCCTTTGAATCCTGTATTTTGAGTCAGTCACAGTGCTTTCTGTCAGTATTTAGTAGTTCTACTGAAGTCTAGTGACGGATGGAAGGCCCATGTCTGTCTTCGTGCAGCATTGCTGACAACTTTCACTGAGACTTGGCATTGTAAATAGTGCAAGAAAGGTAAAAAGGGTGATGTGCACACATCCAATCTAGCCAACACATCCTGAACTATCCCATAGTTTCGTACTGAAGCAAGTTTAACAGTAGTATGTTCAAATGTATGAATTTCAAGGTTACAAATAAAAAGGAGGGCATCCACTTTATCTAGCTCATTCAGTTGCTAGTACCTACATTATTTGAGGATCTCATCCAGCCAGTTCTTGAAAGAAGCTGGAATATCGGCTTTGACAACATTTCTGTATACCTGTTAATGCCTTTGAGCCTCTTGCTTTCTGTTTTAAATGACTTCCCCTTAGTTTCACCTCATGTCCTCTGATTTGTTTTATTTGTTTTTTTTTTTTATTCTAAAGAAGTCAGATGGGTCGATGGTGCTCTGCATCAGATTTTCTGTGTTCAAGAGTAAATTTGTTCATCTGGGGGTTTATGTTGTCACTTTTTCTGATGGCCATTATAGATTCATTGTGAAGGGCACAGCTAACTGAAGCCTGATCCAGAAACACAGGGCACGGGGTGGGAATACCCTAGGTGGGGGACACCTGTATATTTCAATGCAAGCAAAACACAACCACACTGACAAATTAGTGGTATCATTTAACCTAGCCAGCGCCTCTTTGTCTTTTGCAAGGTTGGCAAAACCCCAGGCAAACATGTTGCAGTCTGCAAGTGAAATGACATCTGGCTGGTGTCAGCCCAATCTTGAATTTTATTCTTCTTGACTTTCCTTTGCAGCGTTTACAGTTATCTTATGCTGGCATCCTCTTCTAACTTCAAAAATTCATACTCTATGCCAGAACCTAGATCACTGGAAGTGCAGCGGTCATAATGAATCCTGTGGTGCTCTACTGATCTCTTGAATCAACGGATGTACAGTACACTAACTTGAATGGCTCTTACATGTAAATTATGGAGTATGCAATAATGGTGACTTTTTCTGAAAATTTATTAAATAAATTTCATACGCTGTGATCATTGCTGCTGTTGCTTGTTCAAAGAGCTATCTACTCTTGCCATTTTGAGCTGCTGTTGACTGTCCTCTCTAATCTTTCCCCATTCGGATCACCCTCTAGTTAAGAGAGAGATAATGTCTATAACTTAAAATGTATATAATCATTTACCTACATCTGCTGCTTTCGGTTTTGTCAGTCTTTGAAGGCCAAGTGCTACTTTATGCATCTTCATAAATACTGTGTTTTTCGTTCATACCTGTCTAGACAAGGTAACCTTAATCTTTGCTACAGCACCTTGGACAAGAATTGGTGTAAAGGACCAGGAACCTTCCGATATTTTAGCAATACAGGCACTGGCAAGACCATGTACAGTTGAAAATGGCATGGTTTCACTGATGCACTGCCAACAAAAAGACTGTATTTGAATGCACACGTTACTGGGTTAATTAAAAAGTAGAAAATCTCTCCAATTGATTCCAGGGTGAATTACGAGTTTTAAATTTATGGCTTCTAAAAATCCTTGAGAATTTAGATATGGGGTCTTACATTGCTAATATCAGTACCTAGGTACTGTTAATTGATAGGAAATGTATACATGACATGAGATGATAGTGATTTAGAGATTGATAAAGTTATGGAAAACATTTTTAATGCATGTTTGAACTGAAGATAAGGCTCCTTACCAAGGTGGATTTAAAGAGGTTCCAGGAAGTTTGTTTTTTTTCCCATCTTCCCAAACTAGTTTTATTTTCATCTCAATTACACCAAGAAGGGTATGTAGGGTAATTCTGAATACAGCAGTCAGGCCTAACCTGAAAAACTACAGCCCTGTTGTGTATTATGTTATTGTTAATGGTACGGTTAAATAGTTTTTTTTTAATCTTCCATTACGCGTCATGAATAACGCCCTAAATTCAAATCATTGACAGCGTTCTGGATGAAAAAGAGTGAAATGAGTTCAAAAGTGTGCAAGCTTCTCATAAACGTTAGTGACCACTAGATGGAGGCATAATCTCTCCACAGACTAGCATGCTTTAAAGCAGATTCTAAGCCTTTGGAACAATGCCCGTTTCAGTTAACACAAAAATACAGTGTGTGGGCTCATAAATTAATAATAATTGCTTACACTTATATAGCGCTTTTCTGGACACTCCACTCAAAGACTCCCCTCCACCACCACCACTGTGCAGCCCCACCTGGATGATGCGACGGCAGCCATAGTGCACCAGAACACTCACCACACATCAGCTCTCAGTGGGGAGGAGAGCAGAGTAATGTAGCCAATTCATAGATGGGGATTATTAGGAGGCCATGACTGGTAAGGGCCAATGGGAATTTTGGCCAGGACGCCGGGGTTACACCGCTACTCTTTTCGAGAAATCCTGGGATTTTTAATAACCACAGAGAGTCAGGACATCGGTTTTACGTCTCATCCGAAGGACGGCGCCTGTTTACAGTATAGTGTTCCCGTCACTATACTGGGGCAGCAGGATCCACACAGACCGCAGAGTGAGCGCCCCCTGCTGGCCCCACTAACACCTCTCCCACCTCTTTTTTTTCCCAGGTCTCTCATCCAGGTACTGACCAGGCTCACACCTGCTTAACTTCAGTGGGTTGCCACTTGTGAGTTGCAGGGTGATATGGCTTCTGATTTTAACAGTTTTATTGTTACTTTCCACGTACAGTCAAACTCCTAAACGAAACTTCGTATTTAAATTGCAGCGTGGATTGTTACAGATTACCTTGTCAACATTTCTATCAAAGTCACTTGTCTCACTCCATAATAATATTGCTGCTTGAGTGGATATTTGTTATTGTGAGATTCAGAGCCTGCATAAACTGCTTCTGTGCAGCCAACAGCACGGATTGGGATTACGTAGCGAACAGACCCATGTTGTAAAAAATCCAACAATATGGCGACCGAAGTAAATGCAATTTTCATGCAAGGCTTAACCGTTTTTATTTACTGTGACTGGATGAGACCTTGTTTATGAGACATTGCTAACTGCAATTTTGTTTCTTTGATTTTTTAAGATAGTAGCAAATACAAACCAGTGAGTAAAATATCGAATGACGGGAGAAGGAATATTAGAAGGTGAATTTTACGTAAATATTTATTAATAGCTGGGAAAGAAAGAACTACCTGTCCTGTGAAAAATCCCTTGGGTCGCTTTTAAAATTCAGTTTAATTTAACTTTCTCCTATTGCTTACAATTCGGCACTGTTGTTTCACATTACTTTAAGCGATATAACAGACCAATACTTAATCTGAGATATTTTTTTATTCTGCCTTTTTATGGTGCCTAAATCCAGCCTTTCCTTGCCCGGTATCACGCCTCTGGAGCCCATGTAGAAATATATTTTAACCAGTTTGTAATTTAGAGTTTTTATTTGCTCTGTAAAACAGCCTTCGAAGCTGTATTATTCTTAGTTATTGTTGTGTTAGAAGTAAGAAATTAGATTGCTCATAAATCACTTATTCCACATAAACACAGCGTAATTGCCCTCTGAAAATGCTCTTTTTCTTGTTCGTTTTGGAGACCTTGATCGAAGCTGATTTTAGATGTCAGAAAGGATTTATTTTCTCTGTGTATTTCTGTGTGCGCATTTCCTACATTGCTTTGTCGCGATTTTAACTTTATATTGAGGCTCAGATTTCAACTATAACTCGCACACTAATTACTAGCAGTAAATACTGATGATTTGCTTCCTCTTTCCACAGAAATCTATATGTATTGTAGCTGGGATGAACTATTTTTCGTAAGTGTACCTACTGCGATTCGGACACGGAACGGTTAAAGATGGCGACAAATCAGGCACCCAGAGAGAGGGGGGGGCGTCTTCCCGCCTCCATAACTAAAATGCCAAATAGCATTGGTTTAAGCGACACACAGTCGTGTAACTGACAGTTTGAGGTAGCTTATCGTGTAGATTTCGCTTTGTTGCCGATAGGTTAAGCTTTCGAAACTCAGCCCCAAAGTCATGTGACAGATTTTTTTCCGCCCCGTTTTCATGGGTTAAACGCAATGATCACAAGCGCCACCATGGTAACTGGGATGTGTAGTTTTTAATTCAGTCGGGATTGTAACCGGTCTTCATATTTGGCCAGGTCTTCAAAGAGAGGGTGTGCCAAACATTTTCGGTACCCCCGTCCTGGAAGAATTTGCCCAGCGTAGTAGTAGTACAACAAACGCTTTGTCTGCAAACCGAACTGATCAACAGGTTTGACACAAGTCTACTGTTGATACATCGTCCGGTCGTTAAACGGAAGGGAAAATGTGAATAAAAGGGTGAACAGTGCTTTACTGCTTATAGAGTACTACAAAGTTGTTGTTTTTTTTATTTAAATTGATAACAATGTAATAAGAAGGGTTTTAAACACCGGACTTAGACCACCCATTCAATAGGGGAAGTCCCAGAAACAACGGAAATCCCCATCGACAAATTTAGGTCTACCGCACTTGCTTACGTGTCCCAACGTAGGAAGCACGAATTTTCCAGTAACCGAAGTAAATTTCAGCTGCAATTCTTCCTTCTTGTAAAGTTTACAGACTGATCCTTCTGAATTAAACTCAACTACAGCAGAGCAAGTAAGTACTACATATTTCGCCTTTTAAAGGCGAAACTGCATCTTGTCTGTGGGGTGGTTTGTTTAAACGCAGTTTCTTATATGTCACATGCTATAGAAACATGGTAATATTTTGTTATTTAGTAAATAAAGTAATTGAAATGATTGAAAAGTTATATGAAAACACAATCGTTTTCTCTCGTCTGGGTGGCCATAAGTTTTAATGTACAGATAACTGCATTTCTTCTGCTTTCACAGAAGGAAGTGTATCTTGTAGCAGATTGTACATGCATATTGCTGGTCCTTCAGATTGCCGCAGTGATCTTCTGAAGAGCCGCTTTCACTTCTTTGCAAGGTGAGTTTAAAAGAAAACAAAACCTAAAGTAAAAAAAAAAGCTTTTGCGCTATGACTACAACAACTTGCTCCACCTACTTCCGGTAGCCATTTCTTTTTTAGTTTAGCTGCATATGTGTCTCTTCAACCTTGTTGCGCAGGAAGGATTGCCTTTGGGGTAAAGTGAATTTTACTCAATTAAAATTAATTGTTTTTTTCCTCTGTTAGGAAATAATATATATATGTAGGCACCGAAACCTATATATACACACGTATGAATAAATTTAAGGGTTTGTTATAAATACGAAAACCCCGTTCTTCACATTACGCGTTTAATAACACCAAACCAGAGATTTGGGGATTGGTGGTGTTGGTGTTGTGTAACTGAATTTATGTTTATGCCACGGTTCCTATTTGCACGAAAAAACAAAACGAAACCTTGTTTCATTTCAGTTGTATTCATTCTCTAAATTCAGAGATTGATTACTGGTAGTTCTGTTAAAACTAATAATTATAAAACACTCAGGGAAAATTTGAGATGTAAGAATTTGTGTTTCACAAGCTTTTGGATTAGGTAATACATGTAGCCGGGTGTATAAATCACGAACTCCATGGCTTCTCCCTATGGGAGACTGTCAGCTTCAAAGTAACTAAGCTTCACGATTTTTTGTAAAATCATCAAGGTAATGATAGCATCCTTGATTTCATTTAACGTTTTACCTTTGTAACATAACTAAAAACCGTTTGACGATATAATGAAATAATATTCATGTAATGTGAAGCGTAAATAATGATTAAATACGGCAACAAAGGCTGTGTCGTTTCACACAGAGGTGTGTGATTGAGACTGTTCAGAATGGGTTTTCAAATGACATTTCTGAACGTAGAGTTAATATTATTTTACGGAAAACCGTGGGTCCATATACAGACGGTAAAGTAATTCATTTCGGTTGATAATTATGAACACATCGATGTTAAGGAATTGTTTTTGTTTTTCCTTTCCTCTTGTGAAAACAGTTGTTTTTCTTTATTTTTTTCATGACTTTTTACCTAGTAAACAGACTAAATGAGAGTTTAAAGCTTTTTTTATACTTGTCTACAAGTGACAGTTTCCTAAATTGTTTGGGTGTAATGGTTTTTAACTAAGTTTTGCCTTTTCCTTTCAACAGATTTTGGGAAGACTGAAATCAGAAGGACAATCGATTTTTCTTCACGGGAAGCCTTTTTGTTTTAAAAATAACTATAGTTTTACAATTTCTCTATTTGAAAATAATTTCTATCATGGATACTTAAACACCATACTAAGGGATGTCCAATTCTGGGAGAGAGTTTTGAATCCATAAACCCAGGGAAAGATGTTATATCTGTTTGTTCACTAGTTGTTTTCATTTGTACTTAAATACATTGCTATGGTTGCAGCATATTTTGAAATAGTACTTAGTTTTGACATTGCATGTCAAAGTATGGTAATGAAATCAGAAAATAGGTTATTAAGTATGAGATGCAGAAATAGGAGTAAGATTAATAAAGCACAGAACAAACCAGGTTGACTAAGGAGGTCAATCCTTTCATTTGCTTATTTTATGTTTGCATGTTAGGCAACATGCTGTATTTGTGGTGAATTACTAGGTCTGCCACTTCTAAGAGGAATCAAAACCCGTGTTTCTGAATTGTTTTTGTTTTTCAGTAGTCATCTTGTGTGCTGTTTACTTGATGGGTAAGGTGTAATGTTCTGCTTTGTCCACATTCCTGTAAGTCACATCATAAATCACAGAAAAAAAGGCCCATCTTTTGTTTCCTTAAGTTCATATTATTCTTTGAAGGTAAAAGCAAAATACCTTCAGAGAACTCTTGCTTTACAGAGCTTTTATTGTTGAATTAGATTATCCTTAAACGACAATTTTAGTTTTCTGTGGAATTCTTAGTCAGCTTGAGTATTTGTTCTGTGTAGTGCTTTTGGAGATGTCTTTTGACGTTCATTCTTCTGTATTCTTTACTAGTCCCTGGGTTTTATCTTGATTCACAACTCTCTCCCTGGAAAAGGGCATCCCTTTTCAGCTCTCTTCAGAATGGAAATCTTAAAAAACAACACTTTCTTCAAGGGCTTGTGGCAAAGCAGTTCTCCAGCAGACATACACTATGACAACTCCTCTGAACTCTTTCGGATTTCTACCTATGCCAAATTCCCCCCCAACGCAGCTGTCCCGGAGAGGAGCCTGGCTCGCGCCGGCTTTTATTACACCGGTGTCGGGGACAGGGTGCAGTGCTTTCGCTGCAATGTGACGGCAGAGAACTGGCAGCTGGGTGAATGCCCCACCGAGAGGCACAGACGAATGTCTCCCACGTGCACCTTCATCCAGAGCGTACCATCCAGCGCCAGCCTCCTGTCTTCTTCGCACTCGGCCTTCTCCCCTCTTCAGACCCTGCAGACCTCCGCCTCCCCACCCCTGCTGCAGACGGAGGAGCAGGTGGGCTATTTTAGCCACAGCTTCAGCGGCCTGTCCTCCTCCAGCCCTCTGACCACCCGCAGCGTGGAAGACCTGTCTCACCAGCGGCTGCCCCTGTGCCATAAGCCTAGCATGCGCCACGAGCAGGACCGGCTGGAGACCTTCCAGAGCTGGCACCTGACCAACATCACCCCCTCGGAGCTGGCCAAGGCTGGATTTTACTACCTGGGCCCGGCCGACCGGGTGGCCTGCTTTACCTGTGGGGGTCAGCTGAGCAACTGGGAGCCCGGGGACAGGGCCCTGTCAGAACACCAGAGGCACTATCCCCATTGCCGTTTTGTGAGAGGCGACAGGACAGAAAACGTGCCCATCCCTTCCAATGCACCCCTCAATGTGTCCAACCCTCTAATGCAGCTGTGTGAGGAGAGGCTTCTTACCTTTGTTAACTGGCCTTCCAGGATTCCTGTGCGACCTGATCAGCTGGCAAAAGCTGGTTTTTATTACGTGGGTAAGCACCAAATAGCCAGTGTGATTTACCTGAGCTTGTTTCTCATCTTGAGGGAACAAAAGCTTGAAACAAATGGTGTTTTATACATTATAAAGCAATCTAGTCATACATTCATTTATTAAAGAGGAGGTATGCCAGGGAATTTTATGGTATGTTTTCTTTGTTTTATTCAGCTCTTTATAGTTCTTTAAGACTTGGTTTTTAAAGTGAAAATGTACAGTTTGTGCATTGTTATGCCTTTATTACAATTTGATATTTAACTCTTATGTAATCCGAAGGATTGCTGTAAATGGAATGAATAAGTCTTCTGTAGATCTGAAATCTCTAAGAAGTGAAATGTATGCTTTGCCCAGGTCGAAATGATGATGTCAAGTGCTTCTGTTGTGATGGTGGCCTGAGATGTTGGGAATCGGGTGATGACCCATGGGTAGAACATGCTAAGTGGTTTCCAAGGTGAGATGTTTTGTTCTTAGGACACGTCTAGTTCATGAATGTAACAATATCCACTGATTGTAAAAGACAGGTTTACATTCCCCATGTTTTGTATTAATTCCAGGTGTGAGTACCTCTTGCAAGAAAAAGGCCAAGATTTTGTCCACCAGATTCAAGTTAGGTTTCCTCGTCTATATGAGCAGGTAAGCAACTATTTCAGATCAATATTAAAATTAATAATGTTGAGTTAGAAACTTAAGTTTTTATTTTTTTTCTTTCTAGCTGATCACAAATACTGGGGGCAATGCTCGGGAGTTTGAAACACCAGGTATGTGGTACATAAATCAAATGTAGAAGGAATATGGGCATTTGTTAAAACAAATTAACTTACCAGATCAGTCATGATTTTGTTAAGGGGAAAGATAATGGAAAATTTCCAACTTAGAAAAAGTGATAGAAAAGAATGAAGTAACAGTTCATATAAAGGATGGTAATGACTACAAAACAGAAATTAATCTCCCCGCTTAAAAAAGTACCTAGTATGTTTTTCAGTTCACTCTCGGTACATTCTTTGAAAATAGTTTTAGGTTCGTGCTGTCATTTGCAGATCCAGCAGTTTAAATAACAAAGCATGGTGTCCAATTAATTAATGTGCATTGATCTAAAAAGTGATGGATACACTTTTCCAGAAGTAACGTACTGTCATATTTGCAGTAGTGTTAGGTAAGCTTCTCGTTTTCAATTGAGATGGTACTCAGAGCTTTCTGTACTTCAGTAACTTAGTTCAGTCTTTTCAAATTTCCTTGACTCATGTGAGCCAATGACTGCAGTCTATTCTTGTGTAAGGGATTTATATCTACATCTTCAGTGCTTAAAACCAGTTGTATTATATACAGTTTGGTGTAAATAGAAACCCATAAACAGCTGAAAATATTTTTAGCCCGTTTAAACTTTTGAGTTTTTTTTTTATTCAGTCAGTGGTCCCAGGACATTTCTTCAACAGGTTATTTCAGTGTTGTTCATTGAACTAAATTTACTTTCTTGTCAATAAAGAAGCTGTTTACTAAGAATTAACTGTTGACTAACATAAGCAAACGTATCTATCATAAATGGATAATATGTCAGTCACATACTTATTATACATGAGTAAAGTAAAACAACTTTTTCCAGTTTTTTCATTTCCATCCTTTTTTTCTTTGTTCGTTTATGCACGAGGTTTGTTTCATTATCTGTGAAACCAGGTTTTGAAATAGACTTTGGGTTTCTCCAGAACTAATCTGTTTTTTTATAAAAATTTCTCTCGGCATTTCGATTTTGCAAGTTTAAAAGGTTACAGTACGTTCATCATGTGCTATCACTTTAGATGGGACATATGATTACAGCAGTCATCTTAGCTTGTCATGTGAGACTTTTAAGATGACATTTAACAGTTTAGATAGTCTTAATAGAGCTTCAGCCAGTTTGATCTGGCACATTTCCTGGCAGAAAATGTCACCTATTCCACTCTGCAAGCCTGTTTAATATGTGAGGTTTCACTACGTTTCGTGAAGAACAACATTTGAAGTAAGTGTATTTGGAAAGTATGAGTGAGATCCGAGGGCTTTTGCTTGTCTCTTAACTAATGGAAACCTGTATCGTGATCAGTGGTCCATCTTGGTTTTGGAGAGGAGCGTTCTGAAGATGCTGTAATGATGAACACACCTGTGGTGAAGTCAGCCCTGGAGATGGGCTTTGAGCGCACACTTGTGAAACAAACAGTGCAAAGCAAAATCCTCACCAGCGGAGAAAACTACAAAACAGTGCAGGAGCTTGTGTCCGATCTACTAAATGCTGAGGATGAGAAAAGAGAAGAGGAGAAAGAGAGACTTGCCGAAGAATTGGCTTCAGGTATAAAGCACATGAAATAACTCCTCAGATGATGCCAGCTTCAGTCTTGGGTTGCTCATGATTTCACAAGTTAGCTGACCATAGTTCTAACATATACAGTTAATCTCAATGACTAATTTACCACAAAATAGATCACAAGTTTTTTCTTCTCCCATTAGGGGAACACTTCTACCTTGACAGCATTCCTGTAAAATATAAATAAGAAGATCTACGATTAAGATGGATCCATGAGCAGGAGGTCATGGCAGTGGAGTGATTTATTGCAGTGTAAATTACAAATCATTTCAGGATTTATGGAGTGAATGCTAGCTCTCTTCTGTAACCAAAGAGAAAATAACATTTCCTTGCCCCCAGTAGCTTCAGTTAAACCCCCTGACAGTTATCTATTTTTACCACTACAACAGTTTCTACTGCCTTAGACACTTTTTTGACAAGCAGATAGCCCTAACATATTCTGGTGAAGTCCATAATTTAACGAACCTTTTTTTTTTCTGCAGGAACTTTCAATTTTAAAAGCTTAATGTTTAAGAATGGGGAAGTGGTTTATCTGCTCTCTTTTATTAAAGTTTAATTTGAGAATATAAAACGTGTTTAGATTTACCAGTAGTTCATTAAAATCGTTTTCCATCCCATTTTCTAAAAACAAAAATGGGTCTGTTTAAAAAAATGAAACTTTTAGAAACTTTGCTTTTTTTTTCAGAGTTATTCAGTCTAAATGACTTGTTCCTTATTCATACATAAAGCAGGGGTGGTTTTTCCTTGGGAAATAAATGAGTAAGCTGACAAAGCTGTGACTTAATAGGAAATTTATTTGGAGTTAGCTGAACTGTAGCCTAATTTTGAGTGTTCTCATTTCCTCCACATGAAGTAAATGTACTGTGGTAAACACCATGGAAATCCCCAGTGTGCTCTGTCTTTTGATAGGCTCTAACTTCCTGTATTTTATTTTCTTATGCTTTGGGTATCTGTTTATAGTCCTTGTCTGTGGAAACTTCACATAGTGGGAGATTTGTCTGATTACTATTTATAAAACTTAAGCTGATACTGTACAGAAATTTAAATTAATGGCTTCACATTTTATATCTAATTACTCATTAATTGTAAATCCTGTCAAATAGAACTTCTTTTTAGATTCAGTATGTGTTTGTAGTTGAATCAGAATGGCTTCATAAGTTTTACTTTTTGGAGCTGCAGTGGGAACATAAATTTGTTGTATTTTTTTTTAATTGACTGTAAATTCAGCTATTAAATGAAAGATGACATTGAATACAGCCAATAGCAATACAAATATTCACATTTACGTCAGGGACAGGCCAGGAGTTTAATTCAGATGGGCTGAAACATCCTTAAGTGGTAAGCTATGAAATGAAAATGCTGTCATGTTGAAGAGTAATGTTTTTACCTTGTGAAATCTTACAAATTTCCACAACTCCTTCAATTAGAATGAATCCAGTGATTTATGTTTTAAACAGATCTGCAGAATTTGCCGATACATGACTTAACTTGCTTTCAGACTATAGTTTGGCTTTATACTAGGGTATTATTTTCTGATGTATGATTGAAGAAAATGTTTTGAAGCATATACAGCACATCCTTTATGAAATATGCTCATTCCTATTTACACAATGCCTACACAAATGCATCAAAATCAAAAGATGTATGTTCTCAATGCACTTTGCATTATGAAGTGACTAAATTCTTTAAAAATTTATGTTTTGTGCTTAAAATGGTTTCCAGTTTGTTTTCAGAACCATGAAATGGGTAGCAAGAATTAATTTCTGTTTGTCACTCACATTGGCTTTCTCTATTAATAAGCAAAAAAAAAATTCAAGAGGCACTTAAATACAGTATGGCTAGCCCTTTCAAGTCTTTTAGTTTGCCTATGTTTAACAGTTCTCATTGATGATAAGTGCTAGGGTTAGCGAATATGAAGACTGATAGCCTTTGGAGCCTTCATGTGTTTATTTATATTAAAATTGTATTTTTCAGATGGCTTTACTTTTCTGAAGAAACATCGTGCTGCTCTGACGCAGCGCTTGAAGAGTGTTCAGAGTTTGATGGATCACTTACTGGAGCAGTCTGTAATACACAAAATAGAGTATGACACAATCCATAGCTGCACCTCTGTCAAACAGCAGACAAGCCAGCTTATTGACCTTGTGCTCTCAAAGGGGAATGCAGCAGCAGCAGAAGTGTTCCGAAACTGGATCCAAAAGAATGATGTTTACTTATTAAGAGAATTAATGGGTAATGTTTTCTCTTCTTCATCCTAACGTACGGAAAAATGTTGCCAATGGTCTAAAATGTCTTGTTAAAGTTGGTTTAAGTCCATTTCAAGACCAGGGTTATAGGTCATTTGGAGCAACCTGAAACATACCAAAATAAAAAAAATCCCAACCCATATTCTCAGTCAAAAAGTGTTATAGGCTTTTGTACATTTTTGTTTTCCATCATTGCTTAACATAATTTTATTCTCTGAAAGTCACCCTTTTGAAAAGAAGACTTTTGAAACGTTTGAAATATGCTTACCAAAAATGTCCTTAAACCATTACTAAAAGACTCCTAACATAAATTGTGCCTAACAAGTAAACTGTATTTTTTATTGTTTTTTTCTTAATTTCAGCACAGTCAAATGAACCTTCTTCACCGAGTCCAGAACTTACAGGTATCTGTTGCACACTTTTTTACTATAAGATATAATTAAACATGCTGATTATAGTCATTTCTCTTTTTTTTTTTTTACCTGCAAACACTGAATATCACAGAATCTTTTAGATTTATGAAGAGATTTAGGTATAGATTTGGTTCCCATAAACTCTCAGGACTAGCACTTTGGAGTAAGTCTGTGTTAAAGCTGTGTCATCGTCTTTCATTTTTTTGTAGAATTGCCCATGGAGGAACAGCTGAGGAGACTTCAAGAGGAGCGCACGTGCAAAGTGTGCATGGACAAGGAAGTCAATATTGTGTTCATACCCTGCGGACACTTGGTTGTGTGCAAAGAATGTGCCCCTTCACTTCGCAAATGCCCCATTTGCAGAGGACTTGTAAAAGGAACAGTTCGTACTTTCCTGTCTTAATTTACCAGTCCTAATATTTCACATCCATACATGATTAAACTCACAAATTGCTAAATTAGGTATTTATGTGCTGTCCTGTAGTAGGGCTGCTGAATTAGCTCATTTAAGATGTGTAGCTACAGTATTTGTGCAGTATAGATACAAAATTGCAACAATTCTCATAAACTGGTAATTTCACTATCTACATGAAAGCATAAATGAGTTTATAATACAGAGACATGGGGTGATTTAGCAAACAATAGTACAGCAGTAGAAGCTATGCTTATTGTATGTTGGAGACTCTATTTTGGACCTGTTATTCTTCCTCCTGCATATCGTGTACATGAGACGGGAGCATTTCATCTGCTCTGAGCATTTCCATCTAATGTTTTAGATAAGACTTTATTGATCCTGAAGGGAAATTGATTGTGTTACAGTAGCCCAAGACAAGCCCAAAAAAAACAGACATCAGGATAGACATAAAATTAGAATACGTACGGTAGTACAAAATAAATATTAAATAAAAATAAATACGTAGGTGTGTGAAAATATGATCAAAGTCACTGTAAAAACAATAAAATAAGTGCACAATGTGCATAGGTATATACAGATTGGGTGTCCAAAATGTACAAATGAAGGGGTAACAGTCCTAACCTAGGGCAGCGTTATACACCCTGATAGCCGCCGGCAGGAAAGACCTGGGGAAATGTTCCCTTGTACTCCGTAGCTGGAGCAGTCAGTTGCTAAAAGTGCTCTGCCGCCTAATAACAGTCCCATGAAGCGGATGAGAGGTGTTGTTCATGATGGCTGTGAGCTTGGTCAGCATTCTCCTCTCAGCCACCACCACCTCCAGGGAGTCAAGTCTCGGCCCCAACACAGAGCCAGCATTCTTGATGTATTTATTGAGACTATTTGCATCTCTTGTCATGATACTGCTGCCCCAGCACACAACAGCGTAGAAGATGGCCGCTGCCACCACTGATTCATAAAAAATGTGTAGCAGTGTTCCACACACACCAAAGGACCCGAGCCTCCTAAGAAAATAGTCGGCTCTGACCTTTCTTGTACAGGGCGTCAGTGTTACCAGACCACTCCAGCTTATCATCCAGGTGTACTCCTAAGTACTTGGAGGACTTTTGGATCAGTAATGCACTTTTTGGAATGTCACTTTGGAATGGCATAATTTGTCCATCATTAATTACCTACCAACAGTATTGTGTTGCCTTTTTACCTGTTAAAGCATAGGGATTTGGAGAAATAGTAAATCCCTTGCACTTCTGTTTTATGTATTTGATATTTTTATTCAAAGGACACTGATTAAGAGATAGAAGCTACATGGCGCTACTGTTAGGTATGAAGCAATGTCCTCTTGCCATGTTTTAATGAAACTCAAAAGGAAGATTTTGTAAAATGTCACCATAAAGCCTCTTGCGTTTTTGGCTACAGGTCCTTCAAATTCTTAGTTAAGTTTCAAAAAGTGATCCATCTCTTGCTTAATTGTAAAAAGGGAGATCTCTGTAGTTATTACCTTAAATATTTTAAGATGTTTTTGAATCTCTTTAGGCCGGACACATGGATTTATGTTTTAAAATCCGGAAGGGAAAAAAATATGGAAGTTTTGGGAAAAGTGGTTGACAGAAATCCCCTGGCATTGGGAAACGAATCAAACAGCTCAGTCCTCTGTGCTGTTAAAGCATAAAAAAAATAGGTGAATACCAGTATGGTTTCCATAACTGCTCAGTTCCTTTACCTACAATTTAGAAAACAGTGTGTGCCAGGAATCAGATACACTAATGTGCTTTTTTTTTACCTGGCATGCCAGAATGGCACACACATGAGTCTACTGTTAAAAGATAACACTGATTCATCTGATTTAGAGGTTGATTTGTTACCCATTTTCTGTTACATACCAAATCACACCCATGTCCTCAACACTGCTAGAAGTACAGTAGTTACCTTTTTTTAATACTAATGCGGAATGCTACATTTCTTTAAAACCAATTACATTTGTTAAAAACTGCATAGACCTTTTCTTAGTTCCTTCTGGTTTTGATCTATATGTTATATTTTCATGTGGAATCTAATCATCTGGATTTCAAATCTTCAGCGGTCTCAAGGTAAGAATACATGATATTGGTCAAACACTTGGTGTCGGAAATCCACAAAACATTTTGATTTCCAGGAATGAACCTATATTCCCTTGCTCTGTTGGAACAGGTAACACCAAAGCAAAGCTACAAATTTGAAAAGGGATTCTCTATCCAAATCATGTCTGTAGTAATTTCCTAAAAGTGTCATTGGGTGGTAAACTAGCTGATGTATCGTTTTTTTGGGGGAGTACAGCAGAATTCTCAATTACAAAGCTGTTAACTGCTGCCCCCTGCTGCTGACATTTCTATGCATGATCATCCATTTCAGGGCCATAAGATCACACTTGTTGCTGTTTTTATTAATTGGACTCCCGATTTAACCTTTTTAAGGAGCACAAAAATGTGAAGTTTTAATTTTAGTTATGCAGTTGAGAGTCTATCTCGAATGAAAATCGGCAGAAACTAGGAGTGGGAACCAGAAATCGGAAAAAACAGTACTAGGAAGCCCTGTCTTGAGACAGATTTCCCCTGGGTACAAGTTGGCTTTTACAATGACTTGCCAGTAGCATATTTGTGTAATAGTGTATGGGCAATACATAAAATCTGACCATGATTAATATTTTAGTGTAATACTAATATAAAAAGCAATTTATTGATATTTGTAAAGCATGAGTGGAGTTTGTGTTAACTGTGACATATAGCAGCCCTTCCTGTTCACTAGTCACTGTGAGGACTAATGTACTGCGATGTAGGAGCAAATACATACAGGTTGTGCAGTAGATATTTCCCCACATAAATGCTCCAACATGATCTATTGTTTATTTTGTGACGTCAATTGTAGGTTTTACAAGTTACCGTCTACATTTTAGTTTTATTGTGGTTTGAAATGCATTCATCAATGCTGATTCTTTCTAACCCTGAAATATTAAAATAGTGTTGTAATTCCCCTTTAAGCAATCCAGCTACAGTACTTGGTACTATAGTACTGTACTATAGCTACAGTACTGTATAAGTATATACAGTACTATATAGCCTATAGCAGCCATATCACCCTGCAACTCACAACTGGCTGCCCACTGAAGCTAAGCGGGTGTGAGCCTGGTCAGTACCTGGATGAGAGACCTCCACCTGGGAAAAACTAAGGTTGCTGCTGGAAGAGGTGTTAGTGGGGCCAGCAGGGGGCGCTCACCCTGCGGTCCATGTGGGTCCTAATGCCCCAGTATAGTGATGGGGACACTATACTGTAAACCGGATGAGATGTAAAACCGAGGTCCTGACTCTGTGTGGTCATTAAAAATCCCAGGGTGTTTCTCGAAAAGAGTAGGGGTGGTCCTGGCGAAATTTCCCATTGGCCCTTACCAATCATGGCCTCCTAATAATCCCCCTCTATGAATTGGCTACATTACTCTGCTCTCCTCCCCACTGATAGCTGATGTGTGGTGAGCATTCTGGCGCACTATGGCTGCCGTCGCATCATCCAGGTGGATGCTGCACATTAGTGGTGGAGGGGAGTCCCCATTACCTGTAAAATACTTTGAGTGGAGTGTCCAGAAAAGCGCTATATATTATTATTATTATTATTATTATTATTATTACTCTGCTCTTGGGTACAACAACGGTAATTGTAAGGCTGTGGTACTTGAATCCACAGCCTTACAATTATAAGTCTAGAGTCCTAACCACTGCTTCTTTGCACTTTTTATTCCAAATTTACAACGATCACATTATTTTAAAATAACACCACACAGTGATAAGGTAATGTAAATACAAAATATTCTCAAAATAATTTGATATGAGAAATGTTAAAATGCATAAATGCATCTGATGTTCCTGTTTTTGAAAACTGAAGTGATCTGATGGAAATACAAACCATTGAAAATTTGTTTCCATTTGTAATGAGGTCTTTCTCATGATGCCCATTGTTACATAACACCTAAGCCTTCATCAGCATTTTTAGAATACCAGTTAAACACACAGGTTAAAAGGTAAATTACAATTATTCTGGAACAGCTTTGTTTCTTGAGGGAGCAGCAAACTTCAATTTTTGTCAATCTCAAATCTTGAGGTGTAAAATGGGAGATGTTTTTTTTGTATAGCTTCTCAAGTTGATTAAATCCAAAGCTATCCACTCAAATAAGTTTGATATAATTAGATATTTTAGCTGTCCATGTCAATTTTTGATTCAGTTTTTTAAAACATTGCAAACATTTTTTTTCAAAACACACCATTCTGTTATGATGAATTTACAGTTTTGCACTTGCACTGTTTTCCCTGCAAACATAGTGTATATTTTCATACTGACCGCAAAATGGCGTGCTTACACTTTGCACAGCACAGAACATGTCCGAGCATGTCTAATTCTCATACAGCTATATACAGTTTAACACAAATATGTTTTTTCCTCAATGTGTTCTAAGGTCCACTCAAACATTTGCAATTTATGAAACAAAAATCCTAAAGTATGAACAGGAATAATGCAGCACACAGCATTGCTACATGTAGGGTTACATTCCTATAGTATTAATAAAAAGAACTGCCTTTGCAGTGGATTAATAGTACTATAGTACAGATATTTGGGTATTATGTTAAGCATGCAGGGGTACATCTCACAGCATATCTGAATGTCCAATTATTAAAATTAAGAGCCATGTTCCATAATAAACTAAAGCTGTGTCTCAAATTATAAAAACAACTGCTGAAAACCTGATGGCGGCCTTTCAAATGTTAAAGTTAATATGTTAAAAGAAAAACGGGCCTTGCGTACATTCAGCAATCGGCGTCTATTGCTTCACAATATAATCCTTCAAGACTTGTAAAGTTGGTGAACAAGTATCAAAGCAGTCGTGAATGTGGAAATACTCATCTACTTTATGACTAAATCACACGTGGCCTTTACACATTTATTTGTGCCGGTGGGACAGTAAAAAAGGAAAGCACACTGGTTCGGGACGTTGCATTTGTAGGTTTTGTATGGTCATCTTGTCCTGCAAGAAGTCTTCTACAGCTTAATATAAAACAAGATGGCTGTTTTGCTAGAGAGCAGTATAATTATTTTGCGATTATTTGCCACCAGCATGCGGAACACAATAGCCCACAACTACAGTATACACCACAGCTGTTAAAATAAACCAGATGTGAGTCACGTACCGTATGTAAACAAGGAAATTAGTTCACTATCCAAATTAGTCACTTACAAATACCCAGTAGTAATATTTGAAATCCAGCTTCTTACCGTGCGAAGCGTCGATTGAGTCACTATTCTGAGAGCTTCATGTTCTTCAGAGTACTTTTCCCGCAACCACAAAGATCTCAAAAGGAAACACGAGAGATAGATGCAGCAGAGAAAGAAAGTATATTCCGAGATCTTTCACATCCTGCTTCAGATGTGGGTCTTGCTCCACGTGGAACCTTCTAGATGCTCATGAAAATGGGAATGGAACATTTCCGGGTCATAACACTCAGCCATTCAAAAGGGCGTAACATCTCAGGCCACTGCCTATACCAGTCATACAGCAAACCATGGAAAGACAAATTGAAACTGTTTTACATTGCTCCTGTATACGAACTGGCTGACTCACATCAGACCAAAAGAAGGAAGTGCAGTTTTTAATAATAAATAATACATTTACAATCTAACGTAACTGCTGTACACATAACATAAGTGAATACAGAAGCTACTACTGTTTACAATTACAGTATCGGTCTCCTCGTCGCATGCCTCTACCAATAATTCTATATATATAGTGTTAAAATAAGAATCACTCTAAATCTGATGCATTCCAGTATAAAAAAAAAAAACATTTTCAAGGTTGGCATTGTGGCTGCTTCTCATTATGTACTTCATATCTGGAAAACTGACTCACAGACTGGACTACAATGCTATTGACCAAAGGAAGCAGATAAACATTCCCTGAGGAAATGTTACTCTCAGTTGTAGACTGCAGGCTTCAGAGAGACTGTCAATATTATAGTGATACACAACTTTGATATTGCGTACCTATAAGGCAATTTAATTATGAATTAATATAATGAAGATTGGTTTATCTTAATTGCAGCCACTGAAAGACACTGACAGACTAAAAAAAAAGAAACAATTCAGTAAAAACAGCTGGGCGTATAATACTTTCTTGAGGAATATTAATAGTTATATTTACATGTGCACAAAATGTCCACAAATAACTAATAACTAAATACATTTTAATCATCCTTCACAAGCCAATTTAAAAAGGTTTATATATACTTAACTATTTTCCCAAAGAATAAATTGGAAATGTGCAACACTGTAGGACTAGGTACTGCATAGACTTATTGTTAAGAATCTCATTGTCAAAGTCAACATTACAATCAAAGCTTGAACAAATAATTGACATTGAGGGGGAGGGAGACCATCACTCTCAGACAGTTGTATTTTAAGTCAAAGTGTATGTTGTGCTACTTAATTGAAATTGGTATGGGCTCTGGACTCATAACCATAAGGTTGAACTGGATGGTACTGTTGTTGTACCACCGAGTGAGATACTTCATTGATTTCAAGGAAGTTTTTAAAGAAGGCTTGAATAAAGTATGGTATTAATTTGGGTTCACAATTATTTTTTGCACACCATTTCCTTAGATTTCATTTAAATGCACGGAAACACTTCTCTGCTTACCTGCAGTATTTCCTAGAGAAAGACACTTAATAAAATAAGGGTAATTTTTAAGGCACGATAACCCAATAAAAGTGCTGAGTGAGAACAGCTAAAAGAATGAGACAAAAAGTGGAAGGAAATGTCCTGCTAATCTGTGAAAAGCTGTTGAAAGAAACACTATCAGTACCATCTCAGGAAACGTGCCTTGAAATAAATTGATTGAACACTAGATAAACAGATTTATCATTAAGCATTAAGGAAGATTAGCACCTGCACCTGGCAGACTGCACCTGGTTTAAATCATTGACATGAGTCGACACAAAAATCATACAAAGCTAACAAATCTTTTAAAACATTTTATTGGCAAAATGTGATAACATTTGATTGCAATATTTAAAGCCAATATTTATTTATTTTCACCAATATACAGATTGTCAAACTGCTTATTCAAAAATCACACTTGTCCCAATTTTCAGTAGATCTGAATGTGCTGACAAAAAGCGTGACAAAACTGTTCGGTCCAAGATGCGGTAACCCATTCCACTTCTGTTCACACTTTATATTTATATTTGGAACATTTTCAGTTATGTTGCACTTCCCTTTTTTCTATACAAGGTTTCTTCTACATTAAAATAAGATTTCTTACCCTCACCACTGTAGAAATATAAAATACATTTCACTCTTTTGAGTAGAGAAGAAATCATCACCAGCCCTTTAATCTCAGAATGAAATGCATGCTTTGACAGACATTCGTTTTAGAGACCTAGGTCACATTTTGTATATATTAACTGTACAAAACGTCACTGTTGCACAGTACTTGTGCAAAAACAGGCTCAAATCCACTGGACATTAAAATGCACCAGGTGTTTCATAAAGCATGAAAATGAAATCCCTTAAACGGCACAATGATGCTGTATAACTGAAAGTTCTGTTATGGTAATTATTGGTAAATTATTAGATCAAATCAATCCTTTAAGATTCAATATAAAAAAAACTGATATTTTTTATAAACACTTCAATATTGTTTTATCTTTTGGTTAACTAACTGCACTATCTCACTGTTCCCAAAAATAGCATTTCCAAATATAAAACTGAACAACCATTAAAGAGCCCTTCATTGAAACAAAACTGGGCATAGATATGACTGAAAATATCCACAGCAGAAGAAAGTCTAACTTAATTAGGTCTATCAATGAACACGATTTTTAATCGCACTAAAGGAAGAGATGGGAAGAACTCTGGAACAGCAGGAGATGTTTATTGGGCATTGTGCTTTTGTTAAACATCACACTAACAGACTTGATTGAAACGAGTCTGCATTTGGTTTACAAATCCAAATGCTGCATTTTCTGATAACCTGTGTCACAAACAGCAGATTATATTCACGCTCAAAGGAGAACTAGAAAACTCATTAGATACCCAAGTGAGTAATACTTATACATGTAACAGAAATGCAATTTTACCTTATTAAACTACCATACAATGACAGGCTAAGAGCCATATACAGTATATATACTGTATATATATACTGTATAGTAAATGGAATGTATTATTGTATAGGATTTTTAATATCATGTTCATCATAAACCTTTCAGCAAACAGCAGATCTCTAATATAGAGTTTATACCTCATAAAACATATAAGATTTTTTTACTGTAATGCTGGCATTTGAGGAGTTATTGAATCATCCACTTTCTCAGATTTAAAATAGACCAGGACTCCCACTACAAAACTGTAATAGCACTTTAGGCAGGATTTCAAAATGTTGCTAATTAATTGAATGTGGTGAAAAACCAAAGTATAAGTCGTGACAGAAATTATGTTTAAAATTGTTGTGGAGCTGAACACCACAGTAATCATGAAGGGAGAGGGGCAGACCTAGCATGAAAAACTACTTGAAATAGGGCTAATATACAAAATATTTTTTTGTGTGTAAAAAAAAGCAAAACCCAACTCTGCCCCATTGAAAAGCTATTGCTATGTTACAATGAAATCACAAGTTACAAAATAGCACATTTGGACACTGCAGTACCAGTGCACTTTTGGAACAAATACACCGGATTTCAAGTATATACACATTTAAACAACAGTGCATAAACACTAAAAGACTCATTTCACTCATTCTAATCAAAAATAGACTTTCTGTAACTGCATAAAAGGACCGTCCTTCTTCAAAGCCTGGTGCAAGGTGCTCAAAAAGATCTTCGGCGTTTTCTCCTTTGTGAGTCTTTCTTAAATTATGGCATCGTGCTCTTCGCTGAAAATCATATTTTAAGCAACATCAGTGGCCATTCACAAAATTAAAAAAATGCATGCATTCCTTAAATTGAGCAACGCTAAATGAAAAGAAAATGATTGTGCAGAACTAGGTTCTGCATGCAAAGGTAATTCTCATTAGTGCAATTAAAACAAGTGATACTTACATGGTGCGGTACTGTACCTCTCCCCTGTAGCAGGAGAACTTGTAGCCCAAAAACAGAATAAGGGTCATGCCCAGGGCTAACGTCATGCCTCCTACAAAACTCCCAGCATCAAACCTGGAACCTTCATAAGTGACAGCTGTGGTTTTGGGAAGAGCTAGAAAGAAGAAAATAAAATTCTGATATAAAATTCCTTTGAAACAAGAGCCTTGTAGAAAGTAAATGAATCATGGAAAAAGTAAAGGTTATTTCCATGCTGAACAGTAGTAAGAAAACCCACAACTTTTCAGCTCTTGCGCCTTCTTCAGGTGTGAGCTCACTTGAAAATTTAAAAAAAGGCTTACCTGCAGAGGTGTTAAGAGGACTGCTGGTAGTCATAGTTGTGGTAGTGGTAGAGGTACTCGTATTCCCTACTGCACTAGAAATATTGGTCAGAGCTGTCTGTACAGATGTCGTAGCTGTTTAAGAAAACAAATAAACAAAAAAAAAGTCATTTCTAAAAGATCTTTTGCAAATCAGAAACTACAATTACAAAAGTTAAACTATTACAGGCCACTTTCAAATGTATATACTGTCAAAAGCTGCAGTAATGTTAATTTAAGAACAATGCTTAAAAATAACATTCCAGAAGAACTTGCTGGAAAAATAATTAAGACATGCCTGACTACAATTCATAAACATTCCAAAGAAAATGTAAAAACATATTAAATGGCTTCAGGGGGATTCGATTTCTGTCTAGGAAATCATAGTTCATGAAATTCTGAAAGATAATACTTACTCTGCGTCACTGTGCTGTTAGGAGCTGCAAGACAAACAAAAAAAACCTCCACTGATTTCCGTTTCCCTTACAGACATCAAAGAGAAGCCGAAAACGTTTATTGTTATATATAGAACATACAGCTTGCAAATAAGAGAATGTCATTTAGCCTATCTAGCTTAGCTGGTTGCTAGTAGCAAACTGATTGATCTCCTCCTGCCGCGTCTTGAAAGAAGTAATGCTGTAGCTGAGGGTTCAGTTCTTGTAACCTGTCAGAATAGCACATTCCTCTGAGCCCAGAAATAAAACTGATAGCTTTTCTTTAGATTCACTGCAATGCAACTTTATTACCTAGAATCACTAATAACATTACCCCCAACTGGAGCATTCATCCCTCACCCATAAGGTTTCCTATGAAGTGGTAACTTCTCCAAATGCTCCATCATCACTGACAAGTGCTAGAAGCAGTTCCCATATCATACAAACACCCGCACTAGAAGTCCCCCACCTTCCAGTTTTTTTTCCAAACATGTTTTCTCAAATACTCACCTAGTAAACTCAAAGCTGCTCCTTTATCTGAAAAAAGAAAAGTCATTTTAATTATATGTTACTTAAAAAAAAGCAGAATTTGGGAAGTTGCATACTGTAAAGGGTAATGCACTTTAGGAAGAAAGAGATATATAAAAATTAAATTAAATATTTATTTAAATACATGTTACAAACATATTACATATGTTTCTGTTATTGCAATAGTGGGTCTTCCTGTAGTTTACACTAGATTTTAACAGACTTCATGATTTCGACTGGTTGTCCTGGCCCACAAAAACACTTTACAGAAAAGTTAGGGTGAAGTGCACCTTCTTCAGAAAAAGAAAACTACGTTAGAGAAAAATGACCTTTATGTATAGAGAATAAAGGTGTGGAGGTAAAGAAAATGCTAAAAGTTAAAACAATGAGAGGACAGGACTGAGGCATTCAATGACGTTGAAGGTTTACACTTGGAACCAACTCTTGCAACATGAATGATGAGATAAAAACAGGTCAGACTGTAATAGAATACATAATGGTACACTTTCTTTTTGTGTCTGTCAGCGGGTTTCGGCTTGTACACATTCATTTTCTCTGACTTTCAGCACTTTTTCATTTCTAGTGAATATTGTTTTAAAATCTTTTTCCAAAGACAGTGGATGAGAGCCTTAGAAACACCTTTGTTCTTGGAAAAAGCAATCTGTCTACTTTATTCCTATTTAAAAAAAAGGATTCAGCAGGTGCTTTCTTATCTAAACACAAAGTGCACTAATGTGCAGAAAACCCTTACAACCATAACACACTGCACAAAGGATGAACAAATAGCTACAAAAGTTATTTTTTTTCTCCCTGATCAAAATATTCATTATTAAACACTGAAAAAAGTCTTTAATTAAAAAAATGCATAAAATGAGGTTAGAGACAAAGAATGAGATTTTGGAGATTGTGTAAAAATGAAAGATTCAATGCAGAAATGAGAAACCAAGATGTTTATTTTCTGTGAGTCAGATATGAACATTTCTGAACCTAAAGTAAAAAAATTAATCAAAAAGGGCAACCACAGAGAATTTGAGCATACAAATGACTAATTTATCTTATTTATAGAGCTGGTTTGCAGGAGCAGTGTGGATAAAATGCTTTTTCTAACAGGTACATCAACAGGGTTCCAATCCACAGCCCTAACTTCTCTACTCTTAAAATCTGAAAATAAACTATACTAAATAACATACAATATAACATATACACATAATGTATACAACCACAATTTCACAAGTACACTATTTTAGTTTTTTTTTTATGTGACAAATTGTGTGAACGCTAGTAACGTAAAAATTTGTGCAAAACAAAAGCACTGCTGGAAAAACCACAAAAATGTCACAGTTTGTAACTGAGAGTGTAACTTGTTGAACAACCTTTTTCCAATATCGCCTACACAGTGTCCCTGTGTAGCACATCCATAACTATATCTACCTAATTCGTGTATTGAGTGAGAATGTCACTACACAGCTTATCATCAAAGACAGTTTTCAGACCGTGAAAACCACCTACAAATATATCTTTGCAAATAAAAAGCATAAGCTTCCTCCTGAGATAGAGATGTTGACAGGATGTGGATTTCCTGACATTTCAATATACTCTGTATGGCAGCAGGAAAATAAAAAGTATATTAACAAGACTCAAAAAGGAAAAAAAATAGTTTCTTGATTCTTGATAAAAACCAATAATGCTGCTTTCTAAAGTAAGAGCTGACTGAGTCGATGTTATGACACGTGCCAAGCAAACCTTTCAAGGCATCTTTTAACAGCTTCTGGATACATGCCTGAAAATGTATTTGTATTAAAAAGATGATAAAAGAACACCTGATAAAGCAGAGAAGAACAGAGAATTCTCTCTTAATTACTTGCCTTCAGCTGTACACTTCTGATTTTTCCCATCAGGCGTGGTGTAGTTCTTACAGGATGGACCTGTTAACACAAGGCATTCATCCTTTAACAACTACAAAGATATAAGACGCAGAGTTAAAAGGAGCACTAACACACATGGAATATTTTTTACCTAGATCTAATCTCAATTCCCTTCCCTAAACTTTTTCACATCTAGACTCAAAACCTTCTCCTTTAGAAGGGCTTTTACTTAACTAGTTCTGTTCTTTACCTCTCTGCTCCTACTGTACTCAGTACCCCCCATCTACCATCTGCTCTCATTGTGTAGTTTTATTGTGCACATCTTGTGTATTTTTACTGCTGTTATCATTCCATGAAGTGCTTTGAGAAGCCACCTTTAAATGTGCTATATAAAATAGTTTATTATTATATTTGTATTATTTACTTGTACATCACCTGCGCACCTTAAGAAACTATGGAATATTAACTATACATTGGTTATATACTTTTGTACAATTTCTTTTTTCAGAAATAACAAAGGATGGTGTCATTCAGCACTATCTCTGGGACGTGTTTTTGGATCCTGTGTTGATCCAACATTTGTTTTTGAATAAAAATTAAGTAAATGTACAGAGTTTTTATTGATTGGAACTGTGTTTACAGATACACGTAAGAAATGTAAAAATGAAAAAAATGTAAGAAATATTTTTAAGCTTTTAATTATTTAAATTTAAAGCTTTTGTGATACAGATATGCAATGGTAGAGCTAACAAACCGGAACCATTTGTCAGCATAGTCCAAAAGACCCCAAAACATGTGAAAAGCTGGTTTAATTATTTTTAATGATGACATTTATCAAGCAAAAGCTCCAGAGCACCATGTACCTATGAAAGGCACATACTGACTGGAGAAATAGAAAACATGAAAAAAAGGTACAGAAATCCATCCAATACTCATTACATTTCCCAGTGGTTTCACAGGACCTAATTATCACTGATCATGAACCACTTAATGTTAAATTAGGGGAGCAAGCCTGAGACTTTTGCTAATCTGGTTCTGTAAAACAGCTTGATTGTGTTAAGTAATTCTGAGAATATCAGACTGTTTCTGAACTGGGCAATGCGCACATCCCACCTAACACCCCCAATTTATGACTGCCTCTAAAACCAGATAAAGTAAGCTTACAACTTTTATTAAGCTGTTTGAATTCCTGCAGAAGTGGTAGCAATGACTATGTATGGGTTGATGTCTTTTATGTAATGTTATATACATTGTTAAATATTTATAGCAATGTTTATTAGAATTGTCCATATATTATGTAAGTTTCTATGCATGTAAGAAATAGCTGGACGCAAATAAGAATTCAGAGAAATCAGAAATTAAGTGTTATTGGATCCTATAATGAAACCAGATGGCTAAATGCTTAGAGCATATTTATAAATATGCACAAGATTTTTATTTCCTGAAGCATTCAAGTTTCTTCTTAGATGGAATAAAGGCAAGATAAAGTCACCTTAAGTCAGCAGTAATGTCAAAATGAGCCTGAGATGATAGGCTATGGTCAGAAGAATACTTACTTGACTCATTTAAATAAATCAGCCAGGTACAACTGGTTTGATTCAAGCATGACTGGCAGTCAGTCAATGAGGAGCACTGATCTGATGCTGGAAAGAAGAGACGGATTAGACTGAATTCGAGACATTAAACAACATATGATCTGCTAAAGCAAGCACAAGACAAAGAGTAACTGCCACTTTAACACATCACACAATACAAAGCTAACTTACGATCTTTTATAGCAGGCATTTTCAATTAGAAAAAAAATGTTACACAATATTGTTCAATCTGGAATGGACATCTGGCCATGTCTGACCAAATACTGAACAGGATCACTGCATGGATTTGGAGAGAGAAAACAATGAAATTCTGAACTAGCCTAGAACAGGTTCCAGTGTTTATGCTTCCCGTGGCTGCAGTGCTGTATAAATCACTTGCTTCAAGAGAAAGAATAAATCGGTTACATGGAGCAGACTATGATATTATAAAGGCACGGTTTCGTCCCCATTTCATGTGATAACCTGGGCGTTTAGTTCAAAACAGGTTCAACCAGAACCACACCACAGTTGCACTGAAAAACAAATAATACAACGAAGCACTATTAATACGCTAGATAAATACCTTACTTTTTTTCCCAAGTGGTAAAAGATCTGTGTTATAACAACGTGTTACAATTCGGTGGGAACAGTACACGCTTTTAAATTTTAAGCATCTCCATTCTCTATGTCGTGGGCCTAAATTATTAGCTTCCTTTTAAAAAAAAGAAATTGGCAGGCCGCGATATTTTCCTACAAACACAACGAAGACATTTAGTAAAACCCTCCGTGCATTTACACTTGTTGATTTCTGACATAAAATGCTGCTGCCAAATGGTAGCAAGCAAACAAACCAAGACAAAATATTTTCATGCTTGTCAACTTGCTCGTAAACATGTTGCCATTATTTACATAATTCGTTCATTCGGACTGTGATAGGCTATGCTAAACCTTTTTTTCCCATCGCCCACAATACTAGGTAGCCTACTCACCGCATGACACGAAAAAACAAATCGCCAACTGTCCTGCCACGAAGACACAGAACACAGTGATATTCATTTTTATTATTCAGATATGTCCAAAATAGACCGGGAGTGCCCAAAGCTTCATAAATGTGCAGCTGCAGTGTTTTTTTTTTAAAAAAAGCTGCCAGTTATCTTCTCAAAAGGCTTTTGTCAAGCAATTAAAAAAGTCCTGGAAATAACTAGGACAGATTATGAAGGGCTGAAATTCCCAAAGGAAAGACGAGAGTTTTAAAATTCTCACGAGGCACTAGGCATCAATGCGGATTTCACTTTTCTAAGCTCGGCTTTTGGACTAATGCTCTCTCAGTCAGTAACACCAGAGGAGGAAACGCGAGAAAGAGGCAGGGCTACGTCGTAAAAAAATCCCAAAAATGTACGCCAGCTTTTAAAGATATATCCCTAATAGGGAAGTCTGCTGTGGGTCAGGTGTGCATTTAAAGTACTGAAAGAGTTACAATGGATTTTAAACTAATAATCGCCTCCACCCCAGATTCACATTTGCCTCGAAGTGTTATCGAAGGACTGGGTTGTTGTTCATGCATTAAGATTGGAAATGATCTTTGTTTTAACTGAATCTTAAATTTTAACTGACTGATCTCAATGTTAAGATATTAAAAGTCTTCACCTGTTATTTTCAGGGCAATGATGATTAATCACATCTTTTACATTCGATCTACAGGCGAACGTAGTTTAGTGAAAAGAATTCTGACAGCATTCTGTATTTCAGGCGTGCTGTGCTAATGTTGCCATACAGTGTTGATAAGAGGGAAGTGGTTTTGTTTGGGTTTTGCTTAACCTGCGATGCATTTTAAAAGCAATGCCATACATGGGGAATGCCTTCATGATGCAAACAAAAACAATGCGACATAACATTTTTTGGATGAAGTTCCTTCATAACAGTCTGCTGCAGCAGGACTTAATCAATGAGGTCAGGTGGCTTGCAGGGAGCAAAATGGGATACTGAAATGCAAAACCCAATTCACTAGGGACAACATCAGAGAATTCAGTGCTTTGTGAATGTTTGTAAAACTTGGCGAAGACAGGTTTGGCCTAACCCGCGTGGTTAATGAGTATTATCCTGGCCGTAGGACAAGGAGGCTCGGACCCCATTCCAAAGGGGTGAACCCTCCAAAGGGGTATCTGCAAGGTGGGGACAGAATGCTCGACACATCTGGTCTCAAGTGTTTGTGTTCAATGTATACACAGCTAATTTCCATTAGTATGGTGATTAGGTAGAGCCGTGTTAGATGGACGTGTTATTGTCGTTATTGTTTACAACTTCCATTTAGCAAAAGCACATTTTAAGAAAAAACATGATGAAATGAAGGTGGATATAAATAGGAACAGCAGAAACCACCTGAGGATATCAAATGGAACTGGTTCTCCCATTTTGTAAAGGAAAAAATAAAGGTTTATTCCATGCTGAAAAGAGAAGAAAGGAAACACACTGTTTCGGCTGAGGAGCCTTCGTCAGGTGTGTGACAGACTCCACAGCTGAAACAATGTGTTTTTTTTCTTCTCTTTCCAGCATTGAATAAACCTTTACCTGTGCCTTTGCAGCCTACGCATGCTGACGCAGCTCTCTACTTGAACTTTCTCCCATTCTGTTCCTAATTCAGACATTGCATCAAATGCTTGTTCCCAGAGACGAAAGACAAAAGCGCATATATAGTCTTACTAAGGGTACGCACAGCATGGACAGCATTTCAGATGAATTATATAGCTTTTTCTTTGTTTTAAGACAGCAGACACTTGAATGTCTAATTTGTTTATTGTTGGTACTGGGAAGCTAACATGGCTGCACCAAATATACACCACATTCAACACGCAACAAAATGAACAAAACATTTTTTAGAAGGAAACAAGTTTTCAGTACAAAATATAACATTTACTAAATTTTAATTCACAGAAGTATAAATATAATCTTCTGAAGCATATGATTTGTTTATCAAAACATACTTTACATTTCTTTACAAAGCGCAGTACAATCTGTACATTTCATAGTTGACACACAAGTGCAGAGATTTAAAATCTGTCAGAGCACTAGCCTGTTTTATTGACATATACAGCAAATCAGATACAGAGAGGTTTATTTTTTGGGGGAAAAAAACAAAACAAAACTTGGTCCTAGGCAAAACAAAACCTCATTATAAGACTTCCAAAAAGATGAATAAACATTGCAAGTCTGGATAGAAATGTAAGTTTATACAGCACAGTTTTTGTCATAAAGTATACTTAGACAAGCAGTCCCATGCGTTTTATGGAAACATGAAGATTTATAATGATCATGACAGACTCAGTTTGATTTGTCCAGTAATGCCAGAGTTTAAAACTAAGAAAAGGACAAACCGCTTATTTGAAGAGAAAGAACGACTTGTGAAACAACAAGACTTGTTAAAGAGAAAATAGGCATAAACCACATATTTCAACATTTAAGCTCCCCCTCAGTGACTTTATACATATCAGAGATCTTGAGTAGTGTTGTCAAGTATATTAAAATAGAAGTACAAAAGAGTAATAAAATAGAGAGAACTAAGGAAAAACTGTGGAACAAAATACACATAATTGTCACGTACAGCTAATTGATCACAAGTGCTGAAACAAACAAAATTGTCTCAAAGCAATCTGTCATAAATAATGTGGCCTTCAGCATCACCACTAAATCATATCGAACAGCTCAAGGTGTAAACTCTGATAGTTTGCAAGGCTAAACAAGTTAAATGATGTAATCTTGTCTTACTCTAGTTGTCAACACAAGGTTGTTTGATATTTCGGAAAGTATAAAACACATTTTTCATCATTGGTAGAAAACAAAGGCCACTATTGTTCAATAATTGTGAAATGAATATTCATAAATTAAGCACATTATCTATGAAACCCAAACCAATAACATCCCTTTTAGGGAATAAAACTGGAAAATGTACATTTAAACAATTAAGCATAAACAGTTTGTACTGCCCATTGGAAATTGGCTCTTTAATCTGCAGCTATGTGACATGTAAATGTAGCATTCAGACATGTAGCTATAAGACATGTATGTGTCTACAGCCACCTGCCATTTTAAGAATGACTGCCGAGAATTTCATCCAGGTTGATATCTTCCATCCAGTCATCATTTCCAGAGCCAGATTTCAGCAGCGAGTCTATGAAATCTGAGTCAGTGTTTATCCCTGGAACTGTGTTGTCTCCTTCCTGGAGAAAATCAAAGGTCAGGTCACCACTGTTGCTGCTGCTTTGATAAGGGCGGGGATTATGACCAGAGGCGGTGAAATTGCCTGCGCTTGCTGTCTGCGCAGGTGAGAGCTGATTCATATTTGTCATGGTCGACAAAGTGGGCATTCTTGGCTGGCCAGGCCTCTGAGCGGGTCCAGTAGCTGTCCCAGCTGCCTGCCCATTAACAGCTTGGTTCATTGGGTTGAGAGGGCGCATGGAAATGTCTGGAGCTACTTGGTTTGGTGGTGCTATAGACCTATGTGGAAAGTGACGGCTGCCCACTTCCTGATGGGAATGTAGCGTATTCAGGAATCTCCTGACTCCGAGGGGATGAGGAGGAGCTGCAGTCTGTTTAGAGCCTTGTGCCCAGCTAGGTGCCACCATAGTGGAATTCGTCATCATACCAGCCAGTCTGTGTCCAGGCATGCCTGAAGTCTCCTGGTTTACTGCTGGCCTCATGTGCTGTGCATTTGTCACAGAGCTAGGCCCAAAATTAGTCCCCATGCTGGCAGGTCCTTGAAATCTGGGGTTATTCTGGTTCATTCCCATTGGATTTTGGCTGCCACGTTGCTGGAGCTGGTTTGCACCATTCTGTGTGTTATAACCCCCTTGTTGAGGGTCCATTCCAGGCCCATATATCCTTTCATTGGAAGTAGGTGCCATCTTGCTTCCCTGGCCCGATGGAAGATGGCAGGAGTTGGCTTGCAGACCACTCTGATTGGAAGCATTGTTTGTCAATGTCTGGGTCGAGGACATCCCTAAAGAAAGCCCACCACCTGGAGATAAATTACAAATTAACATTTTTTTAATGTGAAAGCTTATTAAACGCTGGTCAGATCAAGTCTCAAGACAGGATTACCCTGCAATGACTATGTACTATGACAAGTTTGTTCTATCATATAGTATGTATTTGTGAATATATGATTAAAAATTAACATTTCAGAGCATCTTCTGCTATTTTTAAGAACACTACATGCACACTACACAAAAAGTTAAATGGGAATATTTTTCACTTTACCTGTGTACTGATTTGTTGGCGGCTGTGCTCCAACCATATTTCTTCTTGACTCTTTGTAATCAGGAGGCGGCCTGGTTAAACGGCGGTTTAACTGATCCTGTGGACTCATTTTGTCCTAAAATTAATTGAAAATGCAAAAAGGAATTTGTTACGGTGTTTTGAACATTAACAAAAGTTTGTTCTACTAGATACTACTGCTCAAAAGCAATTCTGGTGTTTGTCATGAAGCAAAACACTGAAATGCAATTACTGTCATTTGTGAACTTATTTCCTTGAATGTTTTTTTATTTCTTTAAGTGTCACTAGGGTTTTGCTAGCTAAAACCTCTGAACAACAAGTCAATAATATTTTAATGAAATGAAACACCTACTTTAACCTGTCACATAACAGGCATGAGCTTTAGGTTGAAGAATCATTAAAAAGTATTTTAAGGCTCACGTGAAAAGTTATAGTTTTCCACGTGTCTTATTTCTAGGACTGAAGAAATTCAAGTAGGGAGCTTCGTCAGCATGCGTAGGCTGCAAAAAAACAATTCACGGTTTATTCCCTGCTGAAAAGAGAAGAAAAGAAACACAACGTTTCGGCTGTGGAGCCTTCACACCTGAAGAAACATTGTGTTTCGCTTCTTCTCTTTTCAGCATGGAATAAACCTTTACTTGCTTCTTAATTCTAGGATGCCTATTTGTATTAAACAAAAGAAAGAACGGACCCTATAAAGAAGTGATAGAATTATTCATGGACTGTTTGATTTATTGATTGTGACTAACCAATGCATTTATCTGTGTATTGACACTATCTATTGACTGATGTGCAAGGAACATGGCTCCTACACTGTAGTAGATCAGAGTGTTGTGTATACTCACTCCCTCATTGAGAATTTGCTGTTGTAAAACCATCTGTCTTTGCATGGCCTGGTTCTTTCCCATGGTCTTCTGCTGATTGGTCAAAGATGGCGGCTGTGGAGGCTGAGTGGTGCTGTTTGCAAAGCTGCTGCTCACAGGTAGCCGGGTCCCAGGAGGTAGAACCTGTAAAATATTATTTATGGAAAGCTGTATTGATGCATCTTTTTGGAACCTGGATAAGATTATAATCCATCAGGATATGGATTACACTCTAGTTTCCACCAATCGTCCATTTCTTCCACATCACTTGAAGGGGCCTTGGCTTTGGTGGTGTCACAAACACGTAACAGAAGATAGAAAATACTTTTTTCTCAGAAGGCATAAAATCTGCAATAAATTAAATTTGGTCCATTCAACTTACATCAGTCTAGAATAATGTGGTCGCAAATCAGCCTTTTCAGTGCTGTTCTGAATTTTAGGATGGTCATTTACATAAGTAAAGAAACCATACTTTCCTTGACGGTTTCTTTTTTTTTCCAATAAGATGGATGGAACATTTTAGGGCTAAGATACCTCTCTTCATACATAACGTGTTGCCTGAGCCAAACTCCTGTTCCACAAAATAAGGCTCACATGGTCTGCAGTACATTAGGATTACAAACAGAAGACAAAATTCTTTGAACTAAGATCAACTTTGTTAAAAATATGACTTATCGAAGCAAAGATTGTTTAATTTAGAATTAGTATGCTTTCTTTTTATTGAGACGCTTAATGTAGTTTATGCTCTTCTGGTTTTTAGGGCTAGTGTCATTTTCTTTGTTTTTGTGGCCAGAAAACCAATAATTTGAAAGATTAACAAGAATCTGTTTCTGCTTTTATTCTAGCGTAACTAGTCATTATGAAAAAAACAAACTTAGTGAAAGGAATGGTAAAAAAGGTCATGAATGTCTTACTAACTACAGTATCTCTGATTAGCTGTCATGTGAGAATTCATTCAGTGCTTCATAAGATCTTGAAGAGAATATATGCATAGTACAACAGGTAGCATAAAATATACTTTTGCTTCAATCAGATGCCGGTGCTTTGTAATTTCCAGAGCTTTACACTAGAGGGCAGCATTTGCATTCACTATAGTTCCTTTTTGTTTGCACCTGGCAAGACAGTCGTGGTACAAGACTTTGAACTGTGGTGGAAACAATTCTGGTTAAATTATTTCAGAAGCTGTGTTGTATGGACCGTTTACAGCAAGAACCATGGATACCCTTTTTTTTAACTAGTGCTGACTCACAGCCCCTTTTGGAAATTTTTCAACACCATCTAATAAGTCATACTGGCAGCAGGACAAATAGTCTTTCTGACCCCATGGATAATTACAAGCTTTCTGTAACAAACCAAAGAAGACCTTTGCAAAGATTTCCTCTAGTAGGCTTCCTCCACCAAAATTGAACACAGAAGTGAATTTGAATATCTGGGTAAAAGAGCTTAGATTGATTTTAGAGTGGCTCATAAAAGCAATTCAGGTCAGCCTGTCCCTCTTGCCCTTCATCACAGATTTCAGTCTCGACTCATTTTATGTGCTGTTTAGGCTGCTAATTGACAGGCCTCAATGCTGTTATGGTGGTCCAAGACAGAAGGCATTCAAGCCTGGAATCAAACACAGGACCCAAAAACTGTGAGGGATTCTGAAATATCAGAAATTAATTGGTTTTCATTACTCTGTATGATATTTGCATCTCATTCTACCTAGTTGTTCTGCATTTTATCAAACCCGTCTTTTAAGAGCTTTACAGTATATAATGTTGTTTTCATGTATCTAACAGTCTGAATATTATGTATATACTGTAAATGTGATGTGATGTTAAAAATATTTTTTTTACACCACTAACTGTAGTCGAATTACAAGGTGTATTGATTTTTAATTGACTACCCCAAATACCAGTTTCAATTAAAATTCAGCATGGTGTAATAAATTAAAAATCTGATTGGTAGTTTCCTCAGATATTCAAAAATTAAAACAAGAACTTTATTGTTATTTCATTATAGAAATTTCTCATTAAATGAGCTTAATTCATTCCTTGAAATCTGCTCATAAGGTGAAAACTCATTCAAGTTGAGTGAAAACTCAAATTTTGATTTAGAGACAGATTTTAGGGGACACATCTTATCAGAGTTCAGCTATAATTATTTCTCATATCACTTCATAGGACACAGGCACAGCAAGCTGAGGGGATACATTAATTAATTTAAAGATCAGCATAATAGATTGCACAAAGAATGTCTTCTTAAACACTCATTTCTTATTTTGAAGATTATTATATACAAACCACAGCCTAAAAAACGTCTGAACAATCCTTTAGTATTCAGAGACAATAACATCAGCTATTGTCTCACTGAAGGTGTAAAAAGGAGGAAATGCAAAGCATGGGCAATTGGGAGGCAGGGGTTTTGTGATTGCATTCTTAACATTAAGGGGAAAAAGAGGTAAATGCTTTTAAGCTCCTGTAAGTCCTTGGACTTAATGTAGCTATTTGATTTTTAAAAGAGATGGTCTTAAACTTGCTTAATGCGTCAATATTTTTTCCACCAAGATCCATGACACTGGGCTATGAGCCAGGCTCTTCTTGGGCCAAAGCAATCTCGTAGCAACAGGCCCAGCAACGAAGCCTCGTTACCAGTCTCGTCCGACAATCCCGCCTTTAAGGAGAACAAAGGTTGGCGTGATTAATCATTAAGTTTTTCAGATTCTCTGTTCCTGCACGTGTTCCATCTGTAGACTCACAAAAGCCAAGATCACAATCGTGTCTGCTTTTTTAACTGACTGCTTGAGCATCTGCAGAAAAGGACGCTTGAAAAAGACTTTCCAATGAATTCATAGCCAGCTTTACAGTACGAGCCAGGGATTCTAAGGAAAAAAGTAGTTGGGAAAAAGTAGGCGAGTGAAAGGCCATCCGTAAAGTGCCCTGGAAAAAGTGATAACCCATCACTTACAATCCCTATTGGCCTCTTTCCTTTGGCTTCTAGCTGTCAGCGTGTCCTCAGTCTATGGATACTATTCACAGTTTATACACTTTCCTCACAGGAAAAAAAAACATTTCACTTTTAACTTTTGTACGGCAGCTGAGTTTATAAAGAAAGATAATACAGCTTTGCTGTGCAGTGAACATCGACTAAACCTGTCTCTACTTTGATATTTTCCAAATTATATGACATTTGGAAAATAAATATCATCATCATCACCAACAACAACAAAAAACAAACAGCTTTTATTCTGGTCTAGAGGTACCATTTAAAACACAATTTGCAATACTGAACAGAAAGCTTTGTGCGTTCCTTCCCTCAGGTGATGGAACAAGTCCCTTTCTCTAAGAGAATAGGGTCACAGTAGCAGCAGGCTGTGGCTTGGAAAAGGAGGTGGCAGTTACAGTATTTGATAGCTGCTTTAGAAAACCCACCCTGAACTGGGCAGCTGATTAAACAAGCAGCAAGTTTATAAGGAAACAAAACAGTGTAATGATGGAGGCTCTTTATATCCAGTCCAACCACAGTATCAGTGGCCCTATGTAAAGCCGAAGGTACCAATAAATCTAATGGCTTTAGATTTACCATTAGTCTATGATTTTTTTAAGCAATGGTCCTTATTCTTACAGCATAAAGGGTCAGTGTTTTACAGTGCCATAATTATCACGTTCTGTATTCCTATTTTTCTAGATCCAGTAACCATGGAAACAGATCTGCTCTTTCAAACCTCAAAAAGCAAGCCGTCCCTGAATATAGGCCTGTATTCTTGACTAGGCTATGCCAGGGGGCTTGTGTGCCCGAGAGATATGCCAAGACTCCATTCCCAGCTACCTGATGCATTATGGGATCCCGATTGCTGCCCACAGCCTGGCCACCGCAGCAGAAGGACAAAAAGCAAGAGTAAGCTTAGAGCTCTTCGCAGTGTTCTTAATGCCTTGTACCTTGTCTTAATCATTGCAATTACCCAGGGATACAGTCTGCCTGTGGAATATCTCTGCATGTCACTAAGTCTTCCTGTCTGGATTTATACAGTCAATGTCCAATAAAACCATTCTCTTCCTGCTAGGGATAGCCACTATACCAGTAGCCATAAAAATTTCGATAATGAAAAAGGAAAAGTAGCGGATTTAGCTTTTGGGGGATTTTTATCCTCCCAGATTGTGGAGGCGAATGACCATTTGCCTGAAATCTTTGGAGAGCTCTTTGAGTTTAATCATGATAAGGCATGGTCATGTCTCTTATATGTTACCTCTTTTTATACCCAAGGGAAACAGGAAACATTAAGAGGCCTCTATATAGTTGCACTGCACTTCCAAAGAGCAAGTAGATAGGTTTTTTTTTTATTTTACTTAAAGGAATATTTAGGGTGAATGATTTCACAGACGTGAGTTCTGGAATTCAATAAATTCTGTATAATTAATATAACTTTCCACTGTGAAAGTAATATTATGATTGATTACATTTTTAGAATTGTTTGAAGCGTGACACATTATTCTATCTGTAACCCTGACATTCTGTGGTCTTAGTTCAGCTGGAGTATGAATACATCTAGAGGGCACTGTATTTTAATGCTCATGGATCCTAGACCCAAAGGTTTTAGTTAATTTTCTAAAATTTTGTCTGCAGTGCTATAGTCCTTGTCTTTTCTGGAATACCAGTCTTACCCAGCATCATGTACATGCTGACATGATGCAACAGGCCATGAAAAAAGTTGACAACTTGAGAAAAACAAGAGGGGAAAAGTAGTAGGAAATGTAGACAGAAAATGGAAACTCTGAAATAAATGCTTCTAAATGTCAGGTTGCATTAAGTATTTCCAGATAGTTTCACTTTTCACATTTTGCTCAACCTATCATGCACCATAAATAAAACTGTTGTCTTAAAATTTTAACCACGTATATGGCTGTGACTTACTGTAACTGAAGAGACTCTAGAGTCTGAATTATCAACACTCAGAATGAAAAATAATTTCAAACACCCTCTATTTGTGTTACTTTTATTTGCTAGATTATATATATATAGTTTCCTATGCAGTTTATCTTCACAAATTAAATAAACATATAATTATATATATATTATATAATGTAACAAATCTAAATGAACTGTTCATAAAACCTTTCCATTGCACTGTACTTTATACCCTGGTTCTCCAGCAGGAGTCTCAC